ATGAACTTCTTTTTGGAGTAAACCTGATTCTTATATATATCATGAAATTTTGTTTCTTGATCCATTCTGTCAGTCTGAGTTTTTAAGTTGAGGAATTGAGACCTTTCACATAGAGTTATTATAGAAAGGTATTGGTATATCCCTGTCGCTGCATTATTTTCCTGTTGCTGATTCCATTTTCCTCCCTTCTGCTTAACTGTTCTCCCCACCTGGTGCATTCAGTTTGACTTATTGGCCTTGTTGGCTTCCTGGTCTCTTTCTAGAATATCCTTTACAATTTTTTGGTAGTTCTTGAATTTCTTTAGATGGTCTTTGTTATGGAACTACCTTACGTCTTTGTCAATTTTGAAACAGTTTTGAGCCGGGCATGGTGGCACATGCCTGTAATCCCAGCACTTGGCAGGAGGATCATTGTGACTTCCAGACTAGCCTGGACTACAAAGTGAGCTCAAGGCCAGCCTGAACTGTATAGCGAGAACCTGTCTCAAAAATACAAAAAAAGATTTTTTTTTGTTTGTATGTTTGTTTTCTGGTACCAGGAATTGAACTCATGACCTCGTGCTTGCCAGGCAAGCACTGTGCCGCTGAACTAAATCCCCAGTCCCTAAAAAAAGATTTTTTTTTTTGAAAGATAGTTTTGCAGGATATTTACGTCTGGTTTGGAAGTTGTTTTCATTTAGGGCTGGAAACACTTGTCTCCAGGCTCTGCTGCCTTTAATGTTTGTGTTGAAAAGTCTGCTGTAGTCCTGATGGATTTACCTTTATAAATGATTTGTTACTTTTCTCTGCTTCTTAAAATTCTGTCCCTGTGTTGGACTTCTGGAAGTTTGCCTAGGATATGTCATGGAGAGGTTCTTTTTTTATCATGGATATTTGGGGTGTTATATACCTCACTTGTCTGTATGTTTAAATCTTTCCCTTACTTTAAAAGTTTTCCATGAATTTTGTAAGTAGGTTTTTTTATGCCATGTATGCTGTGTTTTGATTTTTCACTTATTCCAGTTAACCTTCGTCCTTGCATCACATAGCAGATATTGGGTCCATTTTTCTCATTCTCTTGCTGTTTTTAAAGTATCTCTAAGAACAGTAAAATCTTGGTTTGTGAGAATAATGTATTTGTAATCCAAAGCACTTGTGTATCAAAGCAGAGAGGAGAGAGAGAGAGAGGGAAGGAAATAGAGAGAGAGAGAGAGAGAGAGAGAGAGAGAGAGAGAGAGAGAGAGAGAGAGAGAGAGAGAGAAAGAAAGAAATCAGTTTTGATCTTGTGGCATTCTGTGTTATATATTACTCGTGTAGCAAGACAGTGCTTGTTTATCAAGTTAAAATTTCATAGAAATGTTTGCTTGTCTTGGGAAACTTGCAGACCAAGTTATTGACAATCCAAAGTTTGATAGTGATTGGTTTCTGACATGGCCTTATCTTCTGACACTATCCTCACATTGGCTACTTCTCTTGCCCATACTCTCAATATAATTTTTCGTCTCCTGGGTTTCTGTTGGAACAGAACCTTTTTGTTTGTGTCCCTTCTTTGGTAAACTTATCATTCATGTTTTGTTTTGTTTAGCTCAGTAGCTCTTTATTAATGTTTTCTATAAGCTCTCTGGCCATTTTATTATATCTATTATCTGTTTAATTATATCTTCTGTGAACTTGCTGAGCAAGTTCAAACCTGTTGGTCTGTTTGTTAATGCCCTCTGTTATCCTTTCAAATAATTTGGCTGTCGTATTTTGCTTTCTTCCTCAGTGTCCAGTGGATCAGCTTCTGGGGAGCTAGGAAGCATTTGTTCCCTTGACTCCTCATGTTTCTATTTTTACTTGTTTGTTGTGTTTTGTTCTCTTTTGTGCTGAGGTTTTTGGGCACTTACAGTGGAAAGACTTTGTTGCTAGTATGGAAATCTGTTTAGTTAGTGTCTGTTTTTCAGTGAGGTACTCTGGGCATGGATAACTATAGTTTTTTTTCCTCTTTTTAAGGAAAAATTATTTTTCTTTCCTGCTTTTTAAGATGTAGCCACCTCTGTTAATCTGGGAGGAAGAGGAAACAGTGTAATTAGCCTGGCACACAGTTCTTTGGGAATGGACCATAATATTGTAAAAATGACACAAATTAATTAACTAAGACAACTTTAACTGTTCATCTTTTATTGAATTGCTTGGCTGAGTACTGCTGTTTGCTTTGTTTTTTTTTTGTTGTTGTTATATTTTTGTTGTTATTGTTGAACATTGATATTCCACTATCACTAACCCATTTCCTTCTTGAGCTTTTCCTCTACCAGCCATTTAAATGGTGGTATTCTGACTTTAGATGTCTTCTTTCCACCTGTTCTCCTTAGAAGTTACCAACTCTGATGGCTTTCATGCCATTTTGTGTGTATATGACTTATAATTTTTATCTTTAGGCCCAACTTTTTGTTGGTCTTCAATTCCCACATCATAATGCCCATCTGCATTGTTACTTGAATGTTCCACAGCATTCTGAGTTCATTTAGTTACAAATTAAGCACATTTACTCCTTCCCAAATAGACTTCTATAGTTTCTACCTTTTTGGAATACCCTCACTGATGGGCTTGCCTGTCAAATACCTCTGGAAGAAAGTTAATGGCATGCCTATAACACTTTTCCCTGATACCCCTATCCCCAACAGTGGTATTTCAGTTCACGAACTTGATTCTTTCCATGATTTTGGTCTTAAACAGAGTTGGATGAGAACTCAGTCAAATTCAGTGGTGGTTAGGTTCCATGTTGACCTTAAAGGGAAATTTGATTAAGTTCTTGTCTCATTTGGCTTACAGCTAGAATCATGGAGAAAATTGAGTTCATGAACCAAGGCACCACTGTACTTAGTCATTTCCTTTTTTGTTTCCCACTATTATAGTTTTATTATGGTGCCTAAAAGTACTTTATTATACTTAATGTGCTCTCTCCAGTGGACTACAAGCATGTTAATATTTTTCTGTTATCATCCTGCTTAAGCCCTGGCAAAAAATAGTTTAGTGTAGCTCAGCGGTGGACTACCTACCTAGTATTCATGGGGCATACCTATATTTGTTCTCTTTGTTTGTGCTGGAGGAGCCATATATTTTGAGAGGTGAAACAGTCTCACATTCAGTGCAAGAGATGGACTGTGGACTTGGAAGGAGGCCATATGGGGATGAAGACCCTTCTTGTTGGCCCACAATACTGTGACAAGGAATGAACTTATATGTACCTGGGGTCCTTCAAATGAGACCTTGCATACAAGCCAGCTGTGCCATGTAAGTGAGACAGAGGAAGCTAGGTCTGTAGAAAACTAAGCTAGTTGTTAGGTATAGCTTTTAAAACAAGGCATTGATGAAGTCCCTGATGTTCTTAAGGCATACTTTTTTATCTACCTGCTGGCCTATGTCTGGCACTTTGATTCTTTTTGATCCATTGTGGATTTTTTAAAAAAATAAGCATGAAAAGCACCTCAGTCTCTTTTGTTTGAGGGGTGAGGCAATTAGTTTGAGGGACTAAACTACATACTTCCTACATTTACCAAGGGAAGAGGAAAATAGAGAATCTTGTAACACTGACTAACAATGCAAATTGGAAGATATAGAAGGACTAGTATAAGGTACCATCATAAGCAAATCTGTTTACAAGATTTTTATTTAGCGGGAAAGCCAAGGTTGCTGTTTGTAGGTTGCTTTCAGCTATAGCAAAAACAAACAAAGCAGAACTGGCTTCTGTTAAAGAAAATTTTATCTAGTAGTAGGTCCTAAGATATAATTCAGTGATTCAAAAGTAAGAGGAACCTTGGTTCCTTTGCTTGTTCCAAATTTTTCTTTTAAAATTTTAATTCTTACAAGTACGTTTTTACAGTATATAATGACTATTCATTATGGGGCATTTGTACATGTACATAACACATCTTAATTCTTTTTGTATCCCCTCTTCCCAGTTTTCTCAGGTAGTGTTGATGCCTTAAGTTAGAAAGGTACTACATCATTGCAGCTTATCAGGTGATCAGAAATTTCCCAAGTCTCCCTGTAGACTTTACTTCATGTTTTGTGGACACTTGAGAAGATGGCTTAGGCTGGCATATCTCCTTTAATGTTTTGCAATGGATTTTATAAATGCAATTCCAATTTTTAAAGGTCAATCTAGGAAATAAGTTTAATGCTCTAATATGAAGAAAGTGGCTCACATATATGATAGTGACATTCCTGGATGATTCAGTGTTCATTAATACTCATATGAATGTATCTTGGGATTTATGTGAAAAATAAAATCTCCGCTCATTTTTAGCCACATGAACACTTGATGGGAAAATTGTACAGTAATTCTTAATTATGAAGGACTGTCTTGTGGTATATTGGAAGATACTTAGCATTTCTGGCTGGTCCTTGTCAACTGAATTCCTCTACTGCCTGTTGTATTGCCTTTATTTCCATCCCCTGCAGAAAGAAGCAGTGCTGTGGTGGGACAGACACTTTGATTTAAATTTGCTGCTAACACACACAGTTGTCCTTGGACTGGCTTTCTTTAGTGCTGTAACAAATTACTGGCACTTCATATATATTGTCTTCCCCTTCTCCAAACTGTAATTAGAGTTTTCTCTCTTGCTGCTAGAGTACTTACTGGTTTTTTTTAGAGCACTTTGTTTTCGGCATTACCTTAGGTTTATCTGTGTACATCTTTCTGCTCTTCTACTAGATCATATGCCTCTGGAGGACTGATTCTGTGTCTTCTTGTTCACTTGAATCTTTTGATCATAGGTGAATTTGTGTTTAATCTACACTGTGATTTAGTTTCTAAGTGACAGATATGATTGGGATATAATTTTTTTTTGGAACAGCTATAAAGGGCCCAGCCAAAACAGGCTTTGTGTAAACTTAGCTACTTTGTTGAGATTTTTAGAAGAGTGATACAGTTGTCCCAGAGTTAGATATAATTCTCATAGGAGCTTAGAACTGTAATTTTAATGTTCTTACATTAATAAAAAGGTACTTATACTGGAATGAATTATTTTTCTTTACAGCCGGTTGCTGAACCAATCCCCATCTGTAGTTTTTGTCTTGGTACAAAAGAACAAAACCGGGAAAAGAAGCCAGAGGAACTTGTCTCCTGTGCAGACTGTGGCAACAGTGGTATGTGATTTCCCATTTACCTTCTAACATGCTTGGCAGGGCAAGTGGAAAGTGGGTAACTGAGTTGGTATCCTCCATTCACATGCAAATAGTATTTTAATCTGATTTTGGTTTTAGGTAACTGAGATGAGCTTCTGCCCTAAGAAGCTGTGTACATTTAGTAGCTGAAATGTTTAATTTAGTTAAAGTTTGTTCTCAAGGTTTTTAAAATAAAAGCTTACTATGAACTTATTTTTTCCTGTTGATCTTTCTGTTTCATTATTGAACATCTTAAATCACAGTAATCAGTTTGAAGTTCCTGCTAACTTCTTTAATAGTCACTGTTTATGTTTATTGCTTTATATCTCAGGCTTGATGCATAGAACCAGGATAACAACAGATTGGTTTTTCTTGATGGAAACTTCCATGTATCACATTGGGATCTAGAGTACTGGCACTGCAGTTTAGGGAGCAATGTGAAATTCTGGGCACTAAGGAAGATTTTGCAGTCTACTAATCTGTCAGTTCTAGAGATGTTGTTGCTCTGTATTTTAAGAACTCAAAAGACCTAACAGGAAGGCTTTAGTAAACTATTAGGAGCATTCAAGATTTGTTCCAGAAAACAAAGTTTCAAAAAAAAAGGAATTTACTGGAATTAGGTACTTGTGAAATTGTTAGAAGGGCTGAAGAGGCAAGCCTTGGCTGGGCTGGGCTGTAAGGACAGGGATTTCTGAGATCTCCAGAACTGACACCCCAGGCGAGTTGCCAAGCCAGCCTCCCTTGTGGAGAAGTGGAAGCTGGCAACCCATGCAGAGATGTGGAGTTCTGTAGCTGGGCACTGAGGTGCTGGATTTGGCCATCACCATAGCTATGTCTAGACAACTACAAAGGAGAAGAGTGATACTGTTGTTTTCATGACTTTGCATATCATTGGGAGAGTATCAGAAAGAAGATGATCTTTGTTTCACTTCTGCCTTTCATATCTTCTTGAACACACCCAGTTGGCACAGCTCAATTCATATCAAGAGCCTAGCTGCAGGAGTGTTTAGGAAGTGTAGTTTTTAGCTTTTTGGTTTTTATATGCAGAACATTAGAAGAAAGTACGAATAGATCTTAAATACTTGGTGACCATATCCATCCAATAAATATAACCCAGAAGGAACCCAGATGAGTTTCACAGTTAAATGCTATATTAGCTTTCTGTCACTGGAATATAGTACTAAATTACATGTCTAAAATGAGGAAAGGTTTATTTTTTCATAGTTTTTAAGATTTTATTTATTATTTTTGAGACAAGGTCTGACTATGTAATTCAGGTTGGCCTTGAACTCACTGTGTGGCCCAGGCTGGCCTTGAACTTGGGTGATCTTCCTACCTCAGCCTCCTGAATGCTAGGATTATAAACATGCCACCACGCCCAAATCATTTTAGAAATTTTAGTCTACAGTCAGGTAACTCCAAGGTAGAAACATCATGGCAGAGGAATATAGCTTGCCTTGGGGCAGCCAGGAAGCAGAGAGCAGTGGAAGAGCCAGAGGAATGGTGTAGCCTTCAAGGGCCTGCCTCCAATGACCTCCTTCTCCAAGGAGCCCCTCACTCAGTTATGACTCATCATACATTGACCCACTGATGAGTTCAGCACCTTTGTGATCCAAGTGCTTTCATGGTCCAAAATTGCCTTCTGAACACATGAAGGGGACATTTTAGATTTAAACCATAACAAATAAAAACCATAAAATCATGAAAGATTAGATAAAAATATAGTTCATGTTACATAAGTATAGTATTTTCCAAACTGTCATACTCTTTCCCCAAATATAATTATATATGGGCACTCAAATATACAAAGCACAAAAAAGAATCCATTCAACTATTATCTTTTGCTGTAGAAATAAATTAACCTAAAATTAAGCAGCTTAAAGCAAAGACATTGTTTATTTCATACTATTTTTGTGAGTCAGGAATTTAGGGGTGGTAGTTTTGACTTGCAGTTGCAGTGAAAGTTTTTCTTTTGTGCTGCCCAGTATAGAACCTAGGGTCTTGTTTATGCCAGACAAGCACTGTACCACTGAGCTATAATGCCTTGCCACAGTTAAGATGTTAGCAAGATGTTAGCTGATGCTGTTAGCCCTTGAAGGCTTCCATGATGGCTCATTCATCTGGCTGGCAAGTTGGTGCTACTGCATACTGACCAGAAGACTCAACTCTTTTGCCCTGGGGACCTCTGTGTAGGGCTGCATGAGTGTCCACAACATGCCTGTTGTCTTCCCTTGAGCAAGTATCCAGCCTAGCCATAGAAATTATCATTTCAGCAATATCCTATTAGTTCTGAAGATCAACTATGTTCAGTGTAGAGAATGATTCATACAACAAGCGCCTTAGACTGGCCATCACAGTAACTAAGGAAAAAAAGATGGACACAGTCATATATATGAAAGGTATTTTCTAAATTGAAAGCTAACAAACCCAAAATAAAAAGCAGGAATAGTTTGGGAAAAATAAAGAGCATGCTTCCAATTCTAAGCACAAAGTCCAAAGAAAAGAGTGTGAACAGACAGTTTCTGTGAAAGAAAATTAACTGTTGAATATATAGAGGAAGTTTACCCATATTATAACAGAAATGTACAGCAATGCAGCAGTGAAATTAAAAAGTAACAAACACCTAGCCTAGAGCTAATGATATGGTAAAAGATGTACTTTGTTGATGGCACTGAATTTCATATTTTAGCTTTGAGAAAATGTTTTGGCAATTCATGTCAACCTATCAAGTTATAAAGTGTTTAATTAAAGTGTTTAATTCATTTCACTTACCAGTCTCACTTTTAAGAATTTACTCTTAAGAAATTAATTTAAAAGAAGGAAAGAATCTGTAAACATGAAATAATTTTAGTGTTCTTTCATTAACAGTTATGGATAGTGGTCTAAGTACTTTAATGATAGGAAAATGATCATCTGGATTATGGTATTATGTGTATCAAACATAATTTTTTCATTTCATTTGTTGTTTCATTTCATCTGTTGTTTGAAATTTCCGTTTCATTCTTCTTTCTTTTTTATCAAACATAATGTGTATCAAATCATAATTTTTTCCTTAGTTACTGTGATGGCCAGTCTAAGGCGCTCATTGTATGAATCATTCTCTACACTGAAGATAGTTGATCTTCAGAACTGGATTATGTGTATCAAACTAGTGAAATGTAATAGTTCAAGGAATATGAGTTTAAAGTTTACTTGAATAAAATAATGAAGAAAACCAAAACAAAAACTATGTATTCTTTTTTGTTTTGATTTTGTTTGTTTGTTTTGGTACCGGGAATCAAACACAGGACCTTGTGCTTGCCAGGCAAGGCACTGTATCGCTGAGCTATGTCCCTGGCCCATAAACTATATATTCTGTAATTAAAGCCATTCAAGGGCTTCCAACTAATTTAAAAAAGAAAAACATGAAAATGGGTATTATTATTCTAGGACTGTGGTGGCAAACCTATGGCTCATGTGCTGCAGGGTACTGTTTGTATCACTGAAAGTTCTAAGAGGTTCACCATCACTGTTCTAGGATGATGAGATTAAGAATGCAGTGTTTGTACCCCCTCCTGTCTTCCTTTAGTGAGTGATACTTTGATGGTGAATTAACTTCCTGCAATTATTTAGGAATATAAAAGAGAAGAGAAAAGATGATTTAACTAGCACTTTGTCTCCCCAGAGAAAAATAAACATAACCAGCTTTTAGAGGGAAAGGACAGATCTTTTCAGAGTTGAGGACTAATTGGTTACTTTGAAATTTTGAGAATCAAATCAATATTAACTCCTACAAGAGCAGTCATTTTTTTTCTTGTTGTTAATTCTGATACCAATAGAAGTACTGCTTTTACTTGTAGTTTGAGCACTTTAAATCATGGGCAGATATATCAATTTAAATGAGATTTTATTGTATATTTTAAAAATATAACGCTAGACATGGTGGCACACACCTGTCATCTCTGTACTCAGGAGGTAGAGGCAGGAGGATCACAGTGAGTTCAAGGCCAGCCTGGGCTACATAGCAAGACCTTGTTTCAAAAGCACCAAAAAAAAGGAGGGAGAGGTTATTTAAAAAAACGAGAAGCTAGGCATGGTGGCGCACGCCTGTAATCCCAGCACTCGAGAGGCTGAGGCAGGAGGATCGTTGCATGTTCGAGACCAGCCTGAGCTATGAAGTGAGTTCAAGGCCAGCCTGAACTGCATAGTGAGATCCTGTCTCAAAAAAACCAAAAAAATAAAAAAAATAAAAAGTGAGAGTATGAAAGTATACAAAGTTAAATGGAAAATCCTCCTTCAGAATGTTTATAACTTCATTTTCTAAAATGTTGCCAATAGCTTTTTGTATATTCTCCCAAAGGTGACCAAGGCATATATATTTGTGTTCATAAACATGACAAAATGGGTATAAATATAATGCTTTGATGGAGACATAATAAAAGGTTGGAGTGTGTCAGGCTTATAATAATCAAAATGGGGATGTTCTAAGTCTTGTTTAGCATTAAGAAAACTGAATTGGAGTGCCACATCCTGGTAAGACAAATGGCAAGCTTCTAGCATCTTGCTTTATTGGGCATATGTTTTTGTATTTAAGATAATTGCCCTTTTATAATCATTTAGTACAAAATAATTAATTGATTCTTCATTCATGAATTTTTTATCTTCTTAGGTCATCCATCCTGTTTAAAATTTTCCCCCGAACTAACGGTTAGAGTGAAGGCCTTACGGTGGCAGTGTATTGAGTGTAAAACATGCAGCTCCTGTCGAGATCAAGGCAAAAATGCAGTGAGTATCTTGCCTTCGTATGTTTGTATAGAAATAAGAGTGGACAGTGGTATTTTCACAGAAGTGTAGCTGGTTGTTTTTCAGTCCAGGAGAATTTAGAAGAGTACCCTCTTTAAATCACATTTCATTAGTTTAGAATGCTTGTTCATTTAGACTTAGAATATTTCTAAATAATTTATAAAGCACAAGAAGTATATATTTACAGAGAGACTAAGTTACTTAAGGAAATGTTCCCAGAATTTGTTTGAGCAGTATGAAGGTATTCATTTATGAATGTGGACCTCCTAATTACAAGCCATCGTGTTCTTTTTTACTAAAATATATCAGGGTTAGCTTTTATCTGGCTATTGGATATACGGAAAGTAACAAAACTATAGCTTTTCATAAAAAATTGGGGGGAATTTTTTCATAAAAAATTGAAGGGAAATTCAGTTTGATGTGACTCAGTTTTTGCTAACTCATTTGTCTACGTAATAGTTATTGAGGAAACTTAATATTATGGTAACTCATCTCTTTTGAGATTTTAAGTTCCCTAGGTTTTATGAAATTATGATCCTTGTGATGTTTCCTTTTCAAAAAGTTAAGCAGAACTGTCTTTGCCTTATTTTTTCTCTGAAGGATAACATGCTCTTTTGTGACTCATGTGACCGAGGTTTTCACATGGAATGTTGTGATCCACCACTCACTCGGATGCCAAAAGGTGAGAAATACGTTCTGAAGTGGAATATGTTAGAGAAAGCATATTTTACGTACTACTGAAATGAGAAAGGAAAAAAAAAAAAGGATTCTTTTGGGGGGTTGTATAAGTAGGAAGAGAGCTATCACCTTAAAGGTAGGGGTAGTTTTTTTATTTAGGCATGTTAACATTTTTTGTACACTAAGAATTTATTATTATTTTCCTTTATTTTCAACATTGAAGCATCTAGGAAGGGTGAACTGGTCCATATAAAAATATTTGCCAGTCACTAGCTACAGGCTAAAATACTTACATAATATCTTTAAATATTTTTTTTCTTAAAGGAGAAAATGAAATTGTGTAAGGTTGTTTTGATTATATTACTGCTCAGTACTTTTGAGGGGCCTTGAGCTATTGAGATCTGATTTATTTAAAATTTAAAAACAAAACTTGTATAAAATAAGTTGTGAACCAACTAAATGTTCAAATCATAAAGATACAATTTAATGTTACCTCTTCTTTTGACTCCTATTCCTTGAAAGGTATTAGGATGTACAGAATTACCTTTTGTTATGTTTTTTTAAAAAGAAAAATTCAGTTAGTCATCCCTCTTTTGTCCTATCACAAATCCCATTCCAAAAGCTTTAGTTTTGTGGTTTATAAACTTCTTAAGTAAAATGCTTATAAGATATTTTACAGTGTCTGGAGGCAGTTTCCCTGTTGATGGAAAAGGACTCAACCTTAAGTTATAGCCAGGTTACCCACTTTAAGAGTCTTTTTGAATCACTCTTATACCATTCTATTGATTATTTTCTTAATTAATACAAATTAAAGAAATTTGAATGATCTTAAATTAAGAATAAGTAAACCTCTTTCTATTTAGTATTTGAAGTCTAGACGAGAAGCCTTCTGAACAATCCTCCAAGATAAGGAAGATTTTCTCAGAATTTCTTTCCTGTGTATTTAACTTATAGAAGAGGTTTTATAACATTTTAATGCAGGAAACATTTTGTTTTGAACTTATTTCAGATTTACAGAAGAGTGACAAAAAATAGTAGAGAGCCTTTACATTATTTCCTAGCTTCTCCTAATGTTACAATTATTAAGCTAAGAAATCAGTGATTCTTGCGTATACCATTCATTACTGTGATACCTGCATAATGGTGACCTTATTTTCACCATTCTTTCTACCTTTGTTAATTGGAATTTTGCTGTAAACATGAGCTATTCTCTTCTCACATTTGTTTATCTATTCTTTATTTAATGTATATTTCAATGGGTTGTTGTCCATTACTCCAGTTGTTTTTTGGCTCAAATTCTTCTAGATTCACCCTCTGGTAACTTGTTTGAGTTGGTTCTTATGTTCTTTTGAAATTTCTTTTTCATTTTTTTAAATGCCTTTATCATTTCTTTGTTTTCTGGCACTATATGATCTTTTAGGTTTTCTTGTATTTTCCTTGCCCTGACCTGTAGTCAGGTGTTAGCCTAGAAACCTGCTAACACTTGTTATTATAGGATGGTAACTAGACATTGGTAACTTTTTATTATAGTATGGTAACTAGACATTACAAGCTTTATGTGTGTATGCGAATCCCTTTCAGTTATTTGTAGAATTATTATGTTTATATGTTTTCATGCTTACTTTTGGGAGTTGGGGGAACTTTGTCAGATTTTCAAATGCTATTCCTTGACCCAAAGGAAGTTAATGTCTTGATTAAGAGGCCAGTGTATTTATGTCTTTCATACTCCTGCATGGAATTTTTTCTTTATAGGCATGTGGATATGTCAAATATGTCGACCTAGAAAAAAAGGACGAAAACTGCTACAAAAGAAGGCAGCACAGATAAAACGGCGCTATGCTAATCCAATAGGACGTCCAAAAAACAGGTTAAAGAAACAAAACACGGTGTAAGTTGTACTTGTGGCAAGGTGAGGGGAGAAAAGGATAGGGCTTTTTTTATAGTGTAGGATTCACTTGTTTTCTTTTTGGAAAAAGTAAAACATTTTTATAACTTGAGCTTTTATGTAATAATGGCTAACATGAGCCCTTAATAAAGTGTCAGCCACTTTTCTGTGTGCCTTGCATTTGCTAAATCACTTAATTCTCCCAACAACCCTGTGAAGTGTAGGTATTGTTGTTACCTGTGTTTTTCAAAGGAGGAAACTAAGGCAGAGGGAGATTAATTTGCACGAGATTGTATAGAAAGTGTTAAACTGGGATTAAAACCCAAATAATCTGACATCATTCCCTTATATTGCTTCTTATAAAAACAGGAAAGAAAAATTGTTACTGTAGCATTTTGGGCGTTCCTCTCCTGATCTAGTCTCAGTTATTTGTATCTTTAGGTGCACAAATCACTGGGTAGGTTCTTCATATTGGGGTGACGGCTAAATCCTATTTTTGTGCTCTCCCGGTATAAAATAATGTGTTTTCATCTGTTAGCAGAAATTAGAAATTGTAGACTAGGAACCTGGGCTATATGTGGAGGAGATCGGGCAAGATTAGTAGCTAATTCTGTTCTAATTATTTATATATGTGTGTGTGTGTGTGTGTATATATATATATATATAAATTCACCTTTGATGATCTATAAAATATCTTCAGACCTATGAAATCTGTTTGTTTTCAAAAAGTTTACCTACCTTTTCTTCACTTAATACTATCTTGAAGATGATGTACCTGAATAAGCATCAATAGCTGAAAATATAACAAACCAGTGTTAAAAAATTCATGCGTGATGTATGTGTGTTTCAATGCAGGGGATTGAATGTAGGACCTCATGCATGCTAGGAATGCACTCTACCATTGAGCTACATCCTTAGCCCTTTTAAACAACAGTATTTTGATATAGGGTCTCACTAAGTTACCAATATTTTTAATCTTTAAATAAAACTTTAATTTTCCTATACAATGATCTTTTGATTTCTGGCTTCCAGAGAATCACCCATCTCTGTGTTTAGAGGTAAAAGTATAACAGAGTTGATATAAAAGTCACAGCATCATGGGTCTTTATACCTGGCAAGGATGCTCTTCCTTCATCCAACTCTCATTTTATAGTAAAAATACTGATAGAATATGATTTGTCTAAGATGTACAACTAGTAAGTGACAGAATTATGAGTTGAACATGTACTCTGATCTCTGCCTTAGGCTTCTTTTCAGTATAAATAACTGGGCTTCTTGGAAGTAGATGTTTCCAGTCATATTACTTCTCATTCATATACTACTCATAGTTTGTAGTATTTTTAATATGCTCTTTAAAATAAAGCTTTAAGTAGATATTTTCTAGGTTACTTATTAAATATAAATCTTATAATGATTTATTTTAATAGTTATATTTTTTCCCTTTTTGATTCTTTAGATCAAAAAGTCCCTTCAGCAAAGTTCAAACTGGCCCTGGAAGGGGTCGGAAACGTAAAATCACTCTCTCCAGCCAATCAGCATCATCATCAGAAGAAGGATATTTAGAGCGAATAGATGGCTTGGATTTCTGCAGAGATAGCAGTGTCCCCTTGAAGTTCAACAAGAAAACCAAAGGGCTCATTGATGGCCTTACCAAATTCTTCACCCCTTCCCCTGATGGGCGGAAAGCTCGAGGGGAAGTGGTAGACTACTCTGAGCAATATAGAATCAGGAAAAAGGGCAACAGAAAATCAAGCACTTCAGATTGGCCCACAGGTAAAAGTTTGAAACAAACCTAGAAACAAAAAGTATTCCAAAATTGTATTATTTAGAATAACACTAGTTATCTAGATTATATTCAATTATAAAATATTGGTTATGGAAGTTAAGATCTATTGACTATACGTGTAACAGGAATTAGAGGCTAAAGTTGCAAAATAGACTAGTCGGAGCTCTTAGACAACAAAAGAAGTTGCTTTTTTGGTAGAAGCACAAAGAACCTGCCATTTGGGATATAATGTTGAGTCAAGAACAACTTCGTATTCCACAAATTACTAAATAAATCATATAATGATCACCATGTTGCTCAATTTATTCTTGGTAAGAAACTGGAAAAGAGCAGAGATAGTGACTGCTATTGATCTAAAGCTGAGTTCCCTAGTTTTCAAAGTAGACAAAGTCTGTAGAGAGGACTCAACAGTGTAACACCTAACTTAAGAAGAATTTGATTAGCTGTCTGGTCAGTTAAAGCTTATAATGGCCTGACTACTGAACTATGAGTTTAGAGGACCTAACCCTGTGAAAGAAGTAGAAAGGGCTTTTTGAGCAAAGTAGAAGAATAAAAATGAACTGTTGGACAAAAAGAACCGAAGTTATAGTGTCTCTTAACTTTGATTTCCTCCCCTAAATATCCCATTGGTAAGTGATTGTATTCACTGCTTCTTCATTCCTGCATATAGTGTGGTTGGTTGGTCTGGTGCAGGAGAGAATGTTCTCATCATTATCAGTTTCCCTCTTTTCTGTTTGATTGATTTTTCGCCAAAGTAGCAATCAGCTAGTTACTCTTTAAGCATTCAAGAGTTTGCATGTAGACATGCTTTAGTCTGAGCGTGTTTATCTAAGAAAATAAGCAATCTGTTTAGATTTGTCTTAGAAGGAAAGAATCCCAAAGCATTTCCTAATGAAAGTCATTTTTGCTTTAACTGTTTGCTCTGGATATGGATTATTAGAAGAATTTACTAAAAAGATTTAGAAATAGAAATTGTTAGAGGATGCATAAAACATGGAGAACTAACACTAAACTTCAAGCATTGGTGTAGTATTTGGTTTAGTAGGCTCTGTCATTTCCTTTATAAATTGTAGACTTCAAGGAACAATGTGTACATCATCTCATGGTGCTGCGGCCTGCTATACTAGATTTGTGCCTACATCCATCTGTGTCATGCACCTAGGGGGCATTAAAGTTATATAGTACCTTTAGATTGTACTTTTTTTTTCGGTTTGGAAATATTGTCAACAATGAGTCTTTGTCCTTTTTCTTCTTGTACAACATGAATAACAGACAGCCTGTGTGTACAGTCGATTTGAAAAGAACTGTCACTGATTGGTCTTTTCAGCCATACTCATACAAAGAGGAAATGAGGCCATCAGCAATGTCATCTTCAAATGCAAAGGATAATGATCTACATAATCCCCAAATACTCCCTTCACTAATTTTTTTGCCCATTTGAGGAAGAGCCATCATTTAGTGGATGATTATCATAATTTTTCATACTTACCCAGAGGATTATCAACTGTGGTCCTCAGGTTTGTGGAGTTTGTGCTTTAACAGGGCACCCAGAATGTCAGGGGAGTTAGTATTTCCTGGTATCAGTTAAGGTAGCTACTTTGAAGATTATCTTTTTGAATGTTGATACATTAAACTCATACTAAAAGTGTCATATTCATTCTATTTAAAAAGTTTTATATTCCTTAGACCCTTTTCTTATTCTGCCTGTTAAAATGTAATCTCTTTTAATGATGTTTAAATTTGGTTATATCATATTTTAGGAAGCTTTAAGGTAACTCAAGAGTTTCACTAAAAGGCAGATATAGTATGTATGTAAAATTGTTCATTGAGTACTATCTTTCTAGCATTTTAATGCTGTTCTCTTATATAAATAATATTAAGGTCTTCATATTGAAAGCCCATGTACTAAATTGAGGGTAATACAAATAACACAGTAGCCCTTTCTTTATGTGCAGACAATCAGGATGGCTGGGATGGCAAACAAGAAAGTGAGGAGCGGCTTTTTGGGAGCCAGGAAATCATGACTGAGAAAGATATGGAATTATTTCGTGATATCCAAGAACAAGCATTGCAGGTAAGGTTGGATATTCAAGTTGGACATTGAAGCAACTTGTTCATGGATGAGAAGGAGAATTATTTTTATTGTAGGTAAAACAGGAGGAACTTACTCATCTATTTTGAAAAGTGTGTGTGTGTGTATGTGTGTGTGCGCGCGCGCGCGCCCGCACATGTACTTCTACTAGGTAGGGTTTTCCTTTCAAACCCAAACTGCTTTGGTTTTGCATATGAATGTATTGCTTTGATCTCCAGTATTAAATGTGCCTGTTTTATGTATTTTCTGTCTTCTTGTTTGGGATTTGACTAGACAGACAGAAAGTTTCTTGTACATAATGAAGTATTGTATTCATTAATTCAAGGAATACTTTTTAAATGCTCTGTCTTAATTCTTGTGACACATAGCAAGATGTAAATACATAGAACCTACTTTGTACCATACGCTGGAGATGCTAAAGTGAATAACAGAATTTTTTCCCTTAAGTCTAGGAGAGACTTATAATAAAAATTTCAATGTGAAAAATCCAATTATGGAGTACGTGGTATTGGGAGATGACTCTAGGGAGGTCAGAAAAGGATTCATTGTGGGGTCTTTAAGGACATGGAGTAGTTTATCAGTACAATAGGGAATGAATTCTCTATAATCAGAAGGAACAGTTGAAGATAGGGAATAGAGTGATTAATTGTGGGAATTAAAGTGGTTTAGGATAAAGAGCCTAGAGTGTAGAAGATAGTAGGAAATGAGGAAAGTACAGAAAATAGATCATGAAGACTCTCCTAGGTTATACTCATTTATCTTGTCTCTTCCTTCTTTGCCACCAACTGATTTACTATGTAAGTCAAGCCTAATTCTCTGTTTTCTGTCTTAAAAGGTAACATTCATAAGGCTGATGCTAAGGATTCCAGTTGTGTAACTAAAACTGGATTAAGAGACCTGTTGCTGTATAGACTATATCTATCATTGTGTGAATACTTTTGAAAAATAAAAACATCGTTATAATGACTCACCATTTACTGAGCATTCTACTGTATTATAATTTGATGGAGTATTGATTGGGCATCAGATGGACATGGTATTAAATCTTGGTCTGTCATTTACTAATTTCTGCTTTGGGAAAGTTGCTTAACTTCTCAAGGCCTGTTTCTTTTCCTGCTAATAAGTCAAATGAAATATTACAGGTACTCTAGTAGACATCTACATGCAGTTCAGTGGGAACCTAAAAGTTGGGAGCAGGTAACTTTCTTCCCAACTAGAAAGACTTTTCCCACTAAGTTGCAGACATAGTGCTAACGTCCTTTTACTCCTGATTATTGTGTATATTTTCTTAGAAAAACAAAAAAGACATTCTCATACATGACCATGATCCTGTCATCAAGTCAATAACTTGTCACAAAGTGCTATTATTTATAGTATTACTAATGTTGTTTATAGCAGAAGGAAAAAAGAGCTCTTTTGGTCCACTGTCCAGTCTAGGATCATGAGGTTCATTTTGTTGTCATGTCTCTGTAGTCTCCTCATCTGGATCACTTTCACAGTTTAATCTTTCTTGACCTTGATATTATTGAAGCATGTATTTCACAGCATGTCCATCATGGAGCTTGTTTTATGATTCATCTTTTTTTTTATTTTAAAGAGAAAAAAATAATAATAACAACAAAGACAAAAACAAAACAAGAGCAATAAAAATGATACAAGATTTCAAAACAAATGATAGGAATGGACAATAGTTGTTATAGTACATGTTGTTGCATAATACAATACTTACCACCTCTTGAGTTTAAATAATTATTTCTAGAATGTAAGTACCTTGAGAACAAAAGCTTTTTCTTTGGTGGCTGCTGTATACCAAGTACAGTTGTACTTTGATTCTGGTCACAAGAGTTGGATGAGAACCATATCAAATGCAATGGTTTGGTTCAGTGTTGACCTTATAAGGAAATATGACTTGGTTCTGTTGAGTTCTGTGGAGAGAATTGAACTTGTGAGTTGAGGTACAACAATAGTTGACTCAATAAACATTTGTTTAATGATTAGTTATTTGAGTGAAATTTTCTGCTACGAGAAATGGGGCAGGAGTTGAAATAATAAGAGTATATAGAGAAAGATACTGGGGAGAATTAAAAGGGGGTACTAAGCCTTGCTAAAGACAGTAGAGACAATGTATATTTATGCTGATAATAATATGGCTAGTATATATTTCTTCTAGGACTTCTATTAAATTCCTGGTATAGCACATGTATAAGGCATCAAAGAAATAAATAGCTGAATATTAGAAGTCTTAATTCATACTTATTTGAACTGGCAATACACTAAAATTCTGGTGGCAGTAGTGTTTCTCTGTAAAGTTTAATATTGATGTGCTTGAAATGGAACTAGAGCTATAAGGGAAGACCAAAGGCTGCTTCATGAAGTTCTCACTCATAAGAAAGACAGACAGTAAGCAGTCATAAAAGTAAAACTGTAATTTCTAACTGAATGCAATGAGACTATGATAGGCCTTTTGATCTAGATTACTGGGGGTTAGGTTGGAGGATATGTGAAAAAGGAACACTTTTAGGGGGAAGTTACTACACAGAGATCTAAAAGATGAATAGAAAGGCAGCTAGGCAGAGAGCTACAGAGGAGAAAGGGAAAGATTTTTCAAGCAGGCAGTAGAGGGTACTTGTCTGCCCTCAGCTACAGAGAGGCTAAAACAGGAGGATCAGGAGTTGAAGGCCAGACTGGACAATACAGCATGACCTCGATTTTGAGAAGTGGTTTCATGGCCATTGTATGAAGAATGGATTGGAATTAAGCAAGAGGGCAGTCAGGGAAATCATTTTTGCAGAGATTGAATGAAAAAAAATGGTAGCTTCAACTAGAGAGATGGTAGTGGAAATGGCAGGAAAGTAGATAGATTTAGGATATATTTGGAGATGAAATCAGCAGAACTTAGTATAGATTTGATTGTTGTTGTTGTTGTTGTTTTAAAGGAAATAAGTTATCAGTGATGAGCCCTGGGTTTTCTGGCTTAATATAATATTGAAACTGGTTTGCAGTTAGTTGGGAAAGTTAGTGGTGATTAGAGTATGTTTTGAATAATAAGAGTTCATAAAGATAATGTATGAAGTTATTTTTGAGAGCAAAGATTTGGCTTAGTAACAGCTACTTCAACCTGTGCTTGTTTGTTTGTTTGTTCATTTATCTATTCATTCATTCATTTATTCACTTATGCATGCTAGGGATCAAACCCAGGTCAAGTTCTCTACCGCTGAACTAGCTATACTCACTGTCCTTTTGTTTTAAATATTTTGCAAGAAGATTTTACTTTGGGGTCTGAGGTAGTCGCAAGAGTAACACCAGCAAGCAGTAAATGATTAAGGATTTAATGTTGAAATCCATCCAGCCAACAAAACCCATCATTTATTGAGTGTTTATTATGTTGTAGAAACTGTGTTAGATGTAGGAGCTATAAGGAAGGTATACTTTTATTCTCATAGTTTCTAGTAGGAAACAGCTCAAAAGGAAACATGAGAAAGTATGAAATTATCTCTGAGAGATTGCAGTAGGAAAGCATTAAAGGCCTATTTGAGATTAAGGATTATGAATTATAAATTGACTGATTCTGTGGATTTTTTTCTCCAGCCATGTTGAAACTCTGAGGATGACAACTTACATTATGTAGTGATTCGAATTAGTAAGGGTGGGATTTTGATGTTGAATCAGCAGAAAAGAAAGTTAAGAGTGTATGCAAAGATGGGATTTTAAGGGAAGACCTTAGAGTTGGGGAAAGAAAAGAGCATGAGAGTGAAAGACTGGTGGGATCACTAGATTATAGGTCATACAAAGGCAAAAGATGAGATGGCTGAGGACAGAACTCTAGGTTTTATCATTATTTAAGGGTAAAAGAACTAGCAAAGATGTTTAAGTATAGAGCAAAAGGCTATATTTAAAGACTATATGCTACAGTACTTCCTTGGAAGTAGTCTCCTGAGCTTTTGTGGTGTTACTCTTTAGACAGAGCATGATCCTTTATCCACAACTGAAATCCAAGGAATATTGAAAACCTAAAAAAAATTACTGTGGTAAAATATATATCATACGAAATTTACCTTTTTAACCATTTTTAAGTGTATAGTTCAGTGGTATTAGATATATTTGCATTGTCATACACCCATTTCCATTGTCTCTTTCCAGGTCCGTTTCTTCTTTTGTCTGGCAAAACTGATAATCTGTACCCAGTAGTAACTCCTTTTTCCCTCCTTGCCATTGTTTTTTTTTCCCCTTTATTAATTTTACTACTTAGGTACGTTATATAAGTGGACAATATTTGTCCTTTGTATCTTATTTCACTTAGCATATTGCCTCCAAGATTTATCTATATTTTAGCTTATATACTAAGGCTGAAAAATATACCATTGTATTATAGCACCACATTTTGTTTATCCACTGATCTGTTAATGGACAGTTGGGTTGCTTCCACCTTTTGCCTATTATGAATAGTACTGCTATGACATTTGTGTGCAAATACCTGTGTGTGCATTCTTGTTCATGTTTTGAAAATTGCCATTCTGTTTTCCACAGCAGCTACACCATTTTACATTCCCAGCAGCAGTGAGACAGGGTCCTAACTTCTTTGCATCCTCATCCACATTTGTTATTTTGTGGTGTTTCATTTTTGAAATAATAACCATCTGAATGAGTATAAAGTAATATCTTATTTTGGTTTAATTTGCATTTCTCTAATGATTAATGATATTAAGCATCTTTTCACATGCTTGTGATCCATCTGTATATCTTTGGAGAATGAAATGAACATTTTACAACTCATTTTATAGTAAATCTCACTTTACCTAAACTGTCATTGGAAAAACATGATCTGAACTGATGTGAGTCTGTTTATGTCCTAATTAATGTGAATTTTCATATACAGTAAGTCTCCAACTTAAAAATGAGTTCTGTTCTGGGAGAACATTTATAATTTGGATTTGTTCATAAGTCCAACAAAGTGAGTCTTATACACCTTTGATACAAATATAAAGAAAAAAACCCCAAACATACAAAAATACTGTAAATTATTTTTACTTTTACAGTTACCTTAAAGTGGTAAAGTAGACATGTGAACTATTTCTTAGAATTTTTTTTTTTTTGCACAGTACCGGGGATCGAACTCAGGACCTTGCACTTGCCAGGCAGGCACTTGTGCCACTGAGCTATATCCCCAGCCCCAATGTGAACTATTTCTATGATTTGTTCACATCTATAAATGTTTGTAATACGAGACCCATTCTTACCTGTGAAGGTTCCCAACTTGAATGCTCCGAAGTCAGGACTTACTATGTTTTGCTAAATAAATATTAATTTGTCTGATTATGGTATGTTGCCCCAAGTCCTAATAGGACTGGGCATTTAATATATGTGTATACATTGTAATACTTTCCTAAATTAGAAAAACTCAGATTTTTTTTTATTTTAAGAAATAAAAGAAGGAAGACATATTAACAAACAGACATCAATTTACAAAATAGCATAAGAACAATACAAACAAAACAGAGTTACAAAGTTGTAGGAAATTAATGGTTGTTGTATTACTTATTGATATCTTCAAAGTGGTTTCTCAAGAAAACAGAGGCATACAAGATTGATGAAACAAGTAATCATTAACTGTTCCTTTCTGTAGAGCAATAGAAGTCAACTGTTGACTATCCTGTATACACATACTTAAATAATTTCCCCTTCTTTCCCTTCTCTTTTCCTACACCCCAGTTGCGCTTTACTGTTGAGCATTTTCCTTTCGTTTCACAAGGTCTATCATACCTCCTAGTTTTTATTCACTCTTTCAGGTGTTACACTATTGAGATAATATGCTTACACATGCAGGTCTGATTTATTTCACTTATGAGTATGGTCTCTAGTTGTTATCATTTACCTATAAAAGCCTCTAGTTTATCTTTCTTTTTTTTTTGGTTTTTCTCCGGTACCGGGAACCGAACTCACGACCTTGCGCTTGCCAGGCAGGAGCTTTTGCCGCTGAGCTAAATCCCCAGCCCCTAGTTTATCTTTCTTTATAGCTGAGTAATATTCTGTTATATAAAAGTACCACAGTTTTTTTATCCAATCTTCAGTGGATGGACATTTGGATTACTTCCACAGTTTAGCAATTACCAATTGCTATGAACATGGATGCACATATATTGCTGTGATATGACCTTTTCAGATCTTCTGGGAAAATACCCAGAAGGGGAATAGCTGGGTTGAATGAGACCTCTAGACCTAGTTTGCTGAGGAATCTCCAAACTGATTTCCAGTGGTTTCACCAGTCTGCATTCCCACCAGCAGTGGAGGAGACCTCCTATTTCTCCACAGCCTTGCCAGCATTTGTTATTGGTTGATTTCTTAATGATAGCCATTCTTACTGGGGTGAGATGAAATCTCAGTGTTTTAATTTGCATTTCTCCAATGACTAATGATGTTGAACACTTTCTCATTATTTATTTGCCATTTGTATTTCTTTATCTGAGAAGTGTGTATTCATCTCAGCTGCCCATTTTTGGATTGGGTCTTTGAATTTGGGGGGCGCTGATGAAAAACTCAGATTTTTAAAACCTATCCTAAGGGTTTTGAATAGAGATGGTTGACCAGTAACTTCTTTTTTTCTTTTTGTAAAGCTTAAAATTCTGATTTTGAAAAAATATACAAACTCTTCAAATTCAGAATATTTATTAGTTGAGGGCTACCTATACTTGTATCTCATATCTGGTCATTTTTTCTTTTTTTGTGTTTATGCTTCATGCTAGCTATTCCTACCCTGGTGTTTTCCCTCTTAAACTCACCAAGCGTTGTATTTTTCATCTGTAAAATGGTCATGTTTTTTCCTACTTTGAAAGATGGATGTGAGGATTGAGCAAGACGACAGTGGAAGAAGGTTCAGAATCTAGCAGTGTCATTCTTATACAACTCTTTCATCATGCAACTTTTAATCCCAAATGACTAGAATTACTTACTGTAGACCTTACAGGAGAAATTTCCAATGCCAACAAACATCTTTTTTCCCCACATTTCCGTATTGGTAAGGAGAAATGGAAAGGATAGGTAAGTCCAGGGGAAGCTGTCAAGTGACATGGGAAGGTAGCAAGGAGGGCAGTATTTACATGAAATGTAGTTCTGTTATTTGTACAAGATCTAGTGTTGAAATATTTTCATATAGGAGTGGCCTCCCTATATTAGAAATTGGAATTAGGTCATTTAGTGGAAGTTGAATAGTTTGTAGATGAATAGTATTTTCTTATAAAGTGCTAGTAATAAAGGTTTCATTTTCTAGAAATAAGCATATTTAAAGTTTTCTTTTGGCACAGCCCAGTTACTACTGCAATTATTACTGCATCTTAGATTAAAATGTCAATTCTGGCCTGGAATATATGGCATCTTCTAAGATTTTTGGCATATTCAAATGAGGAGGTGGTCATGGAATGGCAGAACCTGTTTTAAAAGTTTTAAAAATGTATATTTTATGCTCTTGATTGTATTAGATAACCATCACTTTGCAAAGGTGCATGTTTTATAGAAGGATATTTTGGCTGAAATTTAAAATGACCTCACAATGGTGTCCTCAAGTAATTTAGATGTGACAGTTTGATTTTGGCAGGTACTTTGTTAGTAAATGGCAGATGCAGCAGTGGCTTCTTCCCTGTGTTAAGGCTTGTTAACATAGGCCTTGTGAATGGTGGAGGTAGAGGTGCCTTCACTCTGGAGGCTTGCACCGCTAGGGAGTTGGGAGTGGTGGAGGGTGCGCATGAGCACATGTGCCAGAGTGTTCATAGCGTAAAGACGAGGGTAGGTGTGGGCACAGAGGCGGAATCCGCCACGAATCTAGTCGTGTCCAGACTCTCATCGTTACAGTGATGTGCAAACAATTATACTGGAACTGGATATCCACTTTCACATCAAGCATCCATTTGGAGGAACGCCAGGCAGCTGACTGGAGAGTGCTGGGACAGCAGGCGGCGGTGCCACCGCAGGTGCATATTTTCAGCTTCTGTCCTCTGATGTGTTGGGGTCTTAGCCTCAGGAAGTTAGGTTTGGTTTCTGGTGTTTTCCTGTGCTCCTGCAGTTACTGTGAGCTGTGAAGATAAATGAAATGATCCTACTTACTTGATTCTGGAATGTAGTTTAAGAACAGAATGTTATAAACCTTTTTATAATAATCATTTTTGGTTTTGAGAAATGAAAGAAATTTTACTTTAACCTCGTTTTGTGTATTACTATACTATTTTGGCCTTTGGAGGAGGTCTACTCCTTGCTGGAGTTCACAGTGCAGTTAAACTGAAAGAGCATGGCTGTCTTTTGTTTTGAAATAGCTGAGGAAGAGCTCAAGGTCTCAGTTGGCTGAATTACAGCATGAAACCTGAGATTAATCCCTTGGCCCTTTATAAAAGCGAATGCTTAGAAAGACCAGAAAGTGTTCTCCGATGAGTTGTGATGAAAAGGCTTCTTTCTTTTAAGTGAATTTATATCAAATCAGTGAATAAAGATCTTTGGGGTTTTTTGTTCCGTTTCGTTGTATGTTTGTCTGCGCAGTCCCAACAAGTGCATCATAGTCTCAGTGATCCTTTAGGCATAATGGTGAAGGATAATTTTGATTGCTGTATTGATGAAGTGTTATTAATACTTGTATACACTTGATGAAGCTAAATTCTAGCTCTCCTTTTCTTAAGTAAATATTTATAAAGTATCTGTGGTAAATACATATACATACATGATGAATCTGTTGTTAGTTTAGGTGCAGAACAAATCAACTTGTTCTTGAATTTAATGTTTTAAAACCTGAATTTTTTTAGCACTAGCCTGTATTTAAATTGCTAGTATGTAAGTCCAGCAAGTCATAAAGGCTTTAAAGGTGACTTGTAATGTTATTGTTCAGATAATTGCAAGAACAAGGGAGCCATAGAGATTTTCCATTATATAAACAGAAGGTAGGAAAAAGGAAAAGCCTGTATACTGCAAAGGTGTAGGCTATCTGTCTTTTGTCAGATCCTACAGAGTTACTAATAAAGAGAATTTTAGGTGCAGGGTGAAATAGAGACTCGCTTGATACTTGTTTTGTTACATTGTTTTATTGTTTTTACATTCTTAGATATTTACTGTCCCTAATCAAAAAAAATTCTTTTTTACATGTGTGTTCATATTGAGTAGGTCATTTCCATTGTTGTAAGTTGAGGCAAATAAGTGGTAACCCCCTGCTCCTTTTCTCATGTCCTTAAATGCCAGCATTTTTAGTAAGTCTCTAAAGGAGTAAGTTTAGTTAAGGAAAGTATTCATAGTGTTATTAAACATAAAAAAGTGTGGTGATACCAACTACATTTGATTCTAAGATTCATTTTAGCATTTTAATTTTTTATTTGGATGCTCTATTTAAATAATGCAACTTATTTAAAAACTTGTTAGCTTGTTTCTTACCCCTCCCTTCATATGGAATCCTGAGAAGATAACATTTATTTAGATTCCCATCTTTTCTTATTGTTATGTGAGTGTATCTAATTTAGCTAACTTTTGTAATGTATTTCTTGACTGCACAGAAAGTTGGAGTAACTGGTCCCCCTGATCCACAAGTTCGTTGTCCCTCTGTCATTGAGTTTGGAAAGTATGAAATTCATACCTGGTACTCCTCCCCATATCCTCAAGAATACTCAAGGTATGTTTTGACAAATTCTTTACTTTCTGATGTAGTTTTAGTTCTGATTTAGTTTTATAGCAGTCCAGAACTATAAGGGATCGAAAGATGTTTTAATCCAGTTAATCTTTTTACTTTTGAAAACACCAGGCTGGCTTATTCATTTATTTTTGGTACCAGAAATCAAACTCAGGGCTTTATGCTTGCGGGGCAAGTGCTGTGCTGCTGATCTACATCTCTGGCCCCCAGGCTCTTCTAAATATCCACGGTAGCATTCTGTGGCAGCTCGTTAGTCCCAGTTGGCTTTATGTTTTCTCTCTGCTAACCTGTCCAAAAGCCTTTAAAATTAGAAACCAAAAGCCTTACACATGGTCAGGTTGAAAAGGGAGTAGTTTCTCTTTAAGAGAAATTTGGCTTTACTCTTTACACTAAAGAGTTTTTTAAAAGCCTCATAAATAACTATAATAAATACAGAGTTTCACTTAAGTAGCCTTTGATCTAAATGTATCAAATTTTATGGACTGTGTACCTATATAGGAATAATTAGACAAGTAGGATACTACAGACAAATAGGATACTACAAATAACTTGGGTTTCCAGGTATAAAAACTGATCATGCTCCATCCAGCTTTTCGTCATGAGGTTAGCTTGTATAGTGGAACCAAATTGGTTTTATGACTTAGCTCTGACGTTAATAACGAGTGTAACCTTAAAAGTTACTCGTCTACTCTATGCCTCAGTTTCCTCATCTGTAAAGTGGGAATACTAACAGTAATGCTTCATAGTTGTATTTTTCCTTCAGGTTGAAATTAAAAGAGGTTATATAAGATACATAAACAAGTTAAACACTAGTTTATCATTTGAAGTATATCAGTCATATTAATACTTTCTAATCTATGTGCTGCTTATGTACCAGTTTCCCATTTATCAAGTGTAAGGAATAATAAAGTATGATTCTCTGTGAGTTAAATATGTGCTTTTATACCTATCTAATAACATTGCCTGTCTAGAATATTAGCACAATTAATTGTAACATTTACTTAGTGTGTCATAGTACAGAGAGGATTGTTTCCAAGAAGCTAGGAATATGCCAATGTAGTTTTTAAAAAGACCTTCTACTAGAAATTGGCATCTTTTTTTCTTTCCCTAAAATGTAGTAACTTTCTGATATAGTTTCCAAGTATGTAGCAGATTAGAAAAGTAGGAGCAAGAATGTTATTACAGACCCTGACCTCAGTGAAGAAGTCACAACTACCGAAAGAAGAGGCAAAAACAAAGCTCCAGAAAACTGACACTAGGGCTCACAAAACAACTGAGAACCATTTGTGGTCAGGTCAGTTAGTCCTAAACTAACCAATAAACTGTGGTGTACTTTGTGTCATGGAATAACAGCAATTAATCTGAGATTGTTAAGAAAAGGGATGAATGGGGTGGGTGGGTAGATGGATGGATGCATGGATGGATGCATGGATGGATGGATGAATGGATGGATAGATACATAGATGATAGATAAATAGATAAAATAAGTCAAGAAATTCCTCAACTACCTGCAAAACTCTGATATTCAAGGTAACTCATTCCTCTGGAGTTTGGATAACCTCTTAAGATCAAAAAGAAATATACTGAGAAATTTGTTTCCTTATCAAATTTAAGGGAGCTTTTCTTTTTTGATTTTTTTTTTTTTTTTTTTTGGTTTTTCTCCGGTACCGGGAACCGAACTCATGACCTTGCGCTTGCCAGGCAGGCGCTTTTGCCACTGAGCTAAATCCCCAGCCCCTAAGGGAGCTTTTCATAAGCTCCACATCACAAAAGCACTGGACTTGAGAAGAAAGCTTGTTTAACATGTCTGTCAACTGCTCCCAGGATTGTGGTGCAGATAAATTGAAACCACGGACACTATCTCTCTTCTACTCAAGAGGAGAATGGAAATAGCCACCCTCAGTGCTTGCTTTTCAAAAGATGATGAGAATGGAACCATGAACCCTTGTCTTTTAAGATACTAAAATGATTCATTAAAATGACTCTGTTTTCTTATGCAGTTGTCACTAGAACTAGGTGTGAGGGAGTTGGTTATCAGTGAAATAATAAACAATGCCAGCAGAAAATAACCAAAATAATAATAGAAATTTAATAGAAGAGAGAACTAAGATAGGTACTGAAACAGTCAACTTCCTTCAAGCAGGATTTTAGACATCCTCTGCATGTCCTTCTCTATTGTGGTTCTTTTGAGTTTTCCATTAGAAAATACTGGGTAATTTAATAGTGCCTTTAGTAATTATGAAATATTTCCTATGTATTCATTCTCATAGTTACATTTTTTAAGAACGATATATTCAAGTGAGCTTGGGCTATTTGGTTTCTGAATTATTTTAAACTTGAACTGACTGAAATGTTTAGAGGGCTTACATTTTCCAAATAATGAATGACCTCTATCTTTAATCTTACCAGTATTTTTTATTCTGCACTATATTACCTCTAAATTGTATCATTATCCTTAAAGGTTTTAAGCCCTCTAAAAGTTTCAAATCCCAAAGTATGCAGAAACAGGAAGTTGGGACAAACAAAAAAGAAAAAAATCTTTTGGGAAATAGGATTATACTTTAGGGCATGTCCCATAATATCCAGACATTTATATTTTATGTGCATTGTGTACTAAGTAATCTTGTACCCCTAGCTTTTAAAAAGCAAACAGCAGCAGTGAAGTAATATTCCTGTTTCATTTGTAATAGTCTGATGAAGTCTCAGAGAATAAAGAATGTAATAGTGTGTTTTTGGTTTTTGTTGTTTTGGTACTGAGGGTTGAACTCCGGGCCTTTGCACTGATCTACATCTCCAGCCCTTTTTTTAGTTTGAGGTAAGGTCTCACTAAGTTGTCTAGGCTGGGCTTGAACTTGGATCAGCTTCTCAGAGTGCTGAGATTACAGGTGTGCACCACATTTTACAGCTTTTACCTGTCTTTCTTTCTTTCTTTCTTTCTTTTTTTTTCCAGTACTGGAAATCAAACTCACAACCTCGCGCTTGTCAGGCAGGCGCTGTGCCTCTGAGCTAAGTCCCCAGCCCTTACCTGTCTTTCTAATGCCTTGTGATGCTTACAGCAGACAAAAGTTCATAGAGAACCCTGCCATTAAAAACATGACTTAGATGAGCTGAAAACAAGAGAAATTATCATCATGGAATATTGCCCTGTCTTAGTTACTTTCTCACTGAGACACAGTTAAAGGAAGAAAGGTTTATTTTGATTAACAGTTTGTAGAGGTTTCAGGCCACAGCCAGCTGGCTCCAAGGCAGGGTGGCATGTAGAAGAAAACAAGCTCATGGCATGGCAAGCAAGAGGCAGCAGGGGATCCAGAGAACGAAGAATATATATATATATATTTATATATGAGAATTTATATATATATTATATATATATAAATCTCCTTCTGGACCATGCCCACAGTGACCCACACCCAGCTGTAAACCCATCAGTGAACTTAGCCAGTGTCCACGATCCAGTCACTTCCCCAAAGTCCCACCCCTGAGTGCATGAGGCTTTGGGGAGACCTGTAGATATCAGCCATAACATTCCTACTCCTGAGCTGCTTTAGAGCTTTGCTTCATAGTAATGTCTTTGCTGTATAAGTATTTTAAGTCTTAAGCAGAATAATAGAATAGCCTAGGAAATTTCCCTTACTTTTTTGTTCTCTTCTTGACTTGATCTGTTGCTTAGATTATGAGGTTGTTACTAGAACCAGGTTTGACATCTCAATTACTGAAGAAGAACCAAAACAGAATCCCTAATGTCTTTGGATACTAGATAATGAAGTAAAATGGATGAAAGGAAAGTTTTTTAAAATCATAAATAATAGCAGCTATAATTGTCACTCATTGAACTTGGTACTGGACTCTGAGCATCTCAAAAATAATTCTGTGAGGTGGGTATATCTATCTTTATTTTATGGACCCAAGCCCAGAAAACATATTCAAGACAAAATAGTTTGTACATGGCAGAACTAAGATTTAAGCCCATTATCGTCCCACATAGCCTTAACATTTAACCACTGCACTTGTGGTACTGCTTATAGCATGTGGATCTCAAGTGAGCTGACTTGGTCTGACTTAAGTCTTTGATTTAAGTAATATTTGTTGGAATGTTTTATATCAAAATGTTGCTACAACTTGACCTATTATAAGGGCGACACAAACTGCTACTATCTTGGGTCATGTTTAAAAGTTAGAGATATGGTAGGAACTGTTAGGGAAAATATTTACATCATTCTAGCAATAAGGGACTTAACACATAGCTGTACTGCATGCCTGATTTCACAAGCTGGAATGTCAGCATATGGGCAACTAAAACAAACTAATTATGGAGGCTGCACCCCATGATGCAGCTGATCAGGTGAACTCAAGACCTAGATGCATCAGGAAGATCACAAAAACAGCCCCTAGGAAAGTCCTCTAGGCCTGGGAGTTTAATCTCCATAATTGCATTTCCCTTCTATATTCCTTTTCATTGAAAGAATTGCAGCTGTTTTTCTTTGCTAAAAGAAACATTTTTCTCCCATTTTTTTTCCCAGGTTATTTTCTTTAGATTAACTGTCATCCCAGTGGGCTTGGTTCTAATAAAGTCAGGGAGTTTTAAAATGTTTGCAGCAAAAAATTGATTTCGATAAAGTACACCATAATGCTTGTTCTTACTTTATTTTTCATGCAATAAGGTTGGCCCATTAAAGTTTTTTAATTGTTAATAAAATGTTCTACATCCTAAGATAATGACATGGACTCAGAATTTACTAGGTAAAACTTGGCAGTAAGTTTTCTCACAGAAGCAACTTGATTAGGAGTAGAACTTTAAGAATTGGCCTTTTCTCACAGACCAGAGGCAATAAGTTGTACTTCCTTTCTCTTTAAAATGTTTTGAGTATTTATTATCTTCATTGACAAATAAAATTGCATTTATCATTAACAACATGAAAGGTTAGCCTTTATTTTTAACTTGGAAAGTTTAAGTGATCTGTCACTATTTTTTTCTGTCATTTTTCTTTCTGAGTAATTTAAAAAGCACAGGATTATGTTTTGGTTTCTCAGACTCACATTTTAGGAAATTTATAGTTGTAACATTTAGCCCTCAAAGTGAATCTCTACTCAAGTAGTGCTACTTCTGTGTCTTCATATTGTGACAATTTAAAGTTGTGTATTGAGAATTTAGCACAAGTAAATAAAAATAAATAGTAGAAACTCGGGGAAGAGGATGCCATTCTTCTACCTTCCTTTTGAGAAGAAATCATTCAGATTCCGTATATTCAGAAAGACAAGTGGCAGTTATAAGTCATTTTAAGACTAAGTTAATACATTTAATTCCCATATTAGATGCCAGAATGTACATGTGGGGTGCTTCATTTTATAGGCCTCTTGTTAAAGAAGGAAAAAGCTATTTATCCCACTGCCATTCCTCCTCTCAGTAGTAGTGTTTGAGGCGGTGTGCAAAGGATGTAAGCAAAATTGTCTAGGACACATTTCTTTTCCATGCTCTTGGCTCCTGCTTCTTGACTTTATGTCAGTCACTTGCTTCACTCAGTACTTTATTTTGGAATGATTTTTGTAGTAATGATTGCTTTCAGGTTATGTTAGTGTAGCTAATATTAGAGATTTTGGAAAATAATAGTGTATATTATAGACATACAGGACTGGTGTTCCATAAACACCTTGGGAAAGTTGTTAGTAGAATGTTAGATGCTTTCAAAGAAATTGCAGTGACACTTCAAAAGCTGCCTTCAAAATTGAAATTTGAAAATATAGTTATCTTCAAACTTTAATAAATTAAATATTTTTGTGTATGTTAATCTGCTTAGCAAGTATTTAGTTCTATGGTATTCTTTTAATTATTACTGAATAAACTGATAGAAACCAAATTAATGAGGTTTCTGAAATTTTCTTCCATCTCAATACTTACATGAGACAAGACACAGTAGTTTGTTTAAATTAAATATTACGTCATTTCACCATCCAGTAAACATGTACTTCAAATGATAGTATCAAATCTCAGATTCTCAAAGACATACAGTACCAGTTCTGGATGCAAGTCAAGATGTAAAAAAACCAGCTTTGTGCTGAAGATACATGGAATGTATGTTTTATAATAGAAGAGCCTTGCCGTGTTAAGAATTCAGACTAAAATATGTATGAAAGCCACCAGTTTTTGACTTAGGTTTTGTTCCTTCCATTATCTTAAGAACTGGTCTTATCACTTAATTTTATTGCTAAGCTCCTCATAAAAGGGATATTACTGTATAAAGATAAAGTTCTGATAAACTATTACTGAAATACCAAGACTATTGAATAAATATACATTAACAGTGAGGACATCTGAAAGAATAATTTGAGCCTATGCTTCACTTGTTGAACAGTAGACTTTTGACTTAGAAGATTTCGTGTGATGACTTTTATCCAGGGCAAAAGCCAGAATTTCAGGGGTAAAAATGGGGTAGTGTCATATATCTTAACTTGCAAAAATATATTCATTGTTATAATTTCAGTGTTGTAATTCAGTATTATATATACTTTAAAAATTTGCAAAGTCTGTTTTTAAAATATACACTATATGTCCATTTTTCTAAGGACTATATGTACACCTGCTATACCTAACGAGGGACCTGACATATGTTAAGTATTCAAGAGATACTTGTTTGCCACAATTACTGAATGAATGAGGAAGTAAACAACAAAGGAAGAAATAATCTATAGTTCAGTTAAAACCATCTTCACTTATTTGTTAGGAAGGTAAATTTTATTCTGACTTTTAGAGATTATCAAGGGAGTAAGAATGTGAAATGTTTGTGTCTATCAATCAGGTAACTTAAAAAAACTTAAAATTAGCCTAACAGGAAGAAAACTGAACTAGTTGTCTTGATTTTGCTAATCTTTGCTCCCTGCTGTTAATTAATTGGCCACTGCTATCTAAATTAGGTTTTTTGTTTTTTCATTTATTGATTAGTGAACACACTAATATATTCCCCACCTTTCTAACCTGGGTAATGAAAGACGGAAAAGAGTTGTGAACATTTGAAGAGCTATAAAATATAAAGCCCTTTTTTGAAATTATTATTTACAGGCTGCCTAAATTGTATCTTTGTGAGTTCTGTCTAAAATATATGAAAAGTAGAACTATTCTACAGCAACACATGAAGAAATGTGGTTGGTTCCATCCTCCCGCCAATGAGATTTACCGAAAGAATAATATTTCTGTCTTTGAGGTAAGGTAGATGTTTGGTACTTGTCTTCCTATTCGTTTCAACAGCAATACCATCTGTGCTACGTGTAGTTGTACAGCATGATTTTTTTGGAAATGTTTTGTTGTTGTTCACTTACTCCTCAGTCAGATACTTCAGTTACATTAGAAGCTGAGTTAGGCCAGCCCATATGGTACCCAGTTCACCAGCTTGGCCTCAGAATAGATTATTCTGTATTTCGTTGAATGAAAGACATAAATTATTATATATCTTACTATTTTTGATGTACCACTGAAGGGAAAAAGTATTGTTAGTTATAATTTCTAATACTCCATTTGATACTTAGCCAACCAGTTTTACATATGTTAAAATGTAATAAAAGTGTATCTTTTAGAATCTATGAAATACAATATTTAAATGAAAGGATTTCTGACTTAAAAGGAATAGAGATGAATTCAGTAGCATTAGTAAATCTTAGTATCTTGTTGCTATGTCTGTGGCGGTTCTGTGTTGGTATTAATAGTGATCTCTTTTTTATCTTCAGTTTTGTAGTTTGCATGCCAACTATTGAGTACTTGCTATATGTTCAGTCTTGTTAATTAATACAGTGGTAGAATTTCAGATTGTCTGGATTTGCTCAGCCTCTCACTTTCTTGGTCTTCATTAAAACTTTATTTTAGTTGATCAGTAGAGGAGCTCTTCACCTTGAGAGTAGGGGGACATCAGGTATGGTATACAATACTGTTTCAGAATATCGAAAAGCAAATTGCTTCTAATCATACATTGATGTGTATTTTAAAAGAAGTCATATGAAGTATTGTGTATTTAGATTGTTAAGGAGTTAGCATGCCAGACAATGTCTTGGGAACTAATGTGGGCACCTATCACCATTTTATAAGAGTGAACTAGCTCAAGAACCCAGGAAATGGCTGGGTATGGTGGAGGCATAGGAGGCTGAGGCAGGAGGATCACTGCGAGTTTGAGACCAGCCTGGGCTACAAAATGAGTTCAAGGCCAGCCTGAACTGCATAATGAAACCCTGTCTCAAAAAGACACACGTACAAAGAAGAACACAAGAATGTCAAGATCAGTAGTATGTAGTTTGATCTTGGCCAGCCTGGGTCTCATTTGCCAACTACATAGGAACCTATGTGGTGTCTCTGAATGGCAGTAGTACTCCCTTGTGCAAGCTTATTTGGAGTATACCTGACTGTAATAGTCAGAACATGTTGTTTCAGGCTGCTGGTACAGATAGGACATTACTTATATCATATTTTACCTAGTGAATATATTTTAGAAGAGGTTACATTTTTAAAATCTTTCAATGAATTAAGCATTTCTGAAAATTAAGCTTGATGTGAGAAGTATTCCTACAATTAATCTTTTTTATAAAAACAAAATATGCAATTTTAAAATAAGATCACCTTCTTACTTAGCCATTTCTGCTTTGTTGAAGTGTGGTATATATTTGTCTTAAAACAACAGGTTCTATGATAACTGCCATTTTAAAGGAGATCTTCCAAGTTCTAGTGTGTTCTGATCACTGACATTTTCTCTTAGGCTAGGCTACAGATACCTAGAGATGCTTATAACTGATGGATATTGTTGTAGAACTAAGGAACATTCTACTGACCAGTTCTTGTTTTTTTGTACCCTGTTTAGGTTGATGGGAATGTGAGTACCATTTATTGTCAAAACCTGTGTCTCTTGGCAAAATTGTTTCTTGACCACAAAACACTCTATTACGACGTGGAACCATTTCTTTTTTATGTACTAACACAGAATGATGTCAAGGGCTGCCATCTTGTTGGCTACTTTTCTAAAGTAAGTATGTCAGCTTAAAATGTTTGAATTCACCTGGACAGGCAGGGCTTTTTGCTGGTTTTCAGTGGGAGATAATACCGGTGTCATTTAGCTTTTTGGAAAAGAAAGTAGAAGGAACATTTAGAAATTTACCAGCTGTTTAGAAGGTGCCTAGTAACATTCAACAACCTATATTCTCCCAGGAACATGAACTGTTGAGAATACTCAAGAGGGAAGTTTTAAAATTACATCTATTCCTATGGTAATAATAGATAGAACTTGTAAAATAAACAGAGTCATTACTTCTGAATTCTTTCTCAGCTTAACTCTTCCTAATTTGAATTTTTAGGCCTAGAATAAGAGTGAGAGACCATTTTTATCAAACAATATTTTCTTCTTCCTCCCTCTTCCATTCCCTTAGAGGGGAAAAAGGTTTCTAGTCAAACAACATAAAAGACACTTCTATTTTAAACAAGCCTATAGTAAAATCTTAATTTTTATAGAACAAGTTCAGTGGAAAGTGCTAGCTTTATGAGTTCTTTAAGGACTGCTTTACTAGCCAAATATGATTTAAAATGTAGTGACTAACCTATAAAAAGGCATTTGTATGTCATATTCAGGGATCATTTTGTGTAAAGTATAACCAATCAAGAGTGAAGCCGCCTTCACCAAAGCAGGAAGTAAACTTTGAAGTAGTTGATAAATCTCCCTTCTAGAGTGCTGTGTTGATTCTTCACTTTTATTGTGCAGATTACTTGGGTCTCAAATTCCTCTGCTTATCAGAGGCATTGACATACTGATTTTGAATTGCAGTGGTATTGGATGGTGTCATTTTATCTTACATTTTTACTCCCCCAGGATAGTTGCTTTGTGGATAATGGTTGTGACTTAACATTGTCTTCTCCCACTGGTGTGGTTTTTCTCTTTTTTTTTGTCCCTATCCCCCCATTCCCAGAGGCCTCAGGCTGAGGTTTTGGCTCTTAGTCTTGTTTTTTAATAATTAGCTTTACTATGTAGTTTTGTGAGCTTGTTGTTTTAAAACTTGGCTTCTGTTTGCTCCATCAGGAAAAGCACTGCCAGCAGAAGTATAATGTTTCCTGTATAATGATTCTTCCCCAGTACCAGCGCAAGGGCTATGGGAGGTTCCTCATCGATTTCAGTAAGGGTTATATTAATATACCTTCTCATTTTCTCCTCCTGTGAACCTCCTGGATATGTATATTCAACAATTTATAGATAGTATATTGGCACCTAATATCTCTTGTCATGATTCTAAGAGTCTTTAGAGCTTAAAATCACGCTTTTTTTCCCTCGGTTGGACATAGTGTTAAATAGCTAATATTTTATTGAATACAGTTTATGTGATCTGCAGCAAATAACTTTAATTTGCAACTATTCATTTACAGTTGAAATTGGTTTTATGTGATTATACTGACACCAATACTGAAAACATTGCATAACTATTGAAATCAGTGTTAGAAAAGAAGTCTAGCACTTGTCCTATTTTTATTAACCCATTAGCAAAGAATATGTGTACACTTCTCAGTAAACAGTCTCTACCTAGTAGTTCAAAACATACAACTTTTAAAATTTAAAAAAAATGAATGATACAGGAAATAGTTTAATCTGAATTAGGAAGTAAAAGCTACCAGTTGTAAAGAGGTCATTGTAGAGCTTGCATTCTGTTTCACGTATAGGTAAACTTGCTAAGAAAGTTAAGTGTAGGTAGTAAATTTGATGTTCATGAAATAGTGATTTGAGGGAATATTTTCCCTGTTATTGCTTTAAAATATTTTAAAGGAATATATACAGAAATAATAGTTCAATCTAAGGATTTTGATTCTACTCTTGAGAAGTTATTTCTCACCTGGACCGTTACATTTGTTTTACTTGGCTTTCAACTACCTTATTTTATTAGAAGTATGTGCTACTGATTATTTTGTACATTTCCTTGGCCTTTTTGGATTAGCAGTAGGGGATGGAACTTTAATATATTGCTTTGAAGTAAGACTCAGGATTGGCATGTTAAATACCACTAACTAGCTTCATTAGGGAAAATATTTTATTTATGGGGATTAGTGATATTTTATTTTATTTATGGTGATTTTGAGGTAGATAGTTTTCTGTATGATTACAGTGTTTCAGTTTTCCTGGTGAGACTGTTTTTCCAGATCACCATTGTTAGACTGCTTTTAAATTTCCTTAAATGACAAAAACAACTGTATCTCTTCTGCCATCTCCATTTTCAATGCTTTTCTTTTGGAATTTAACACTCTTTCCTGGGCCAGGGATATAGCTCAGCGGCACAAGCGCCTGCCTGGCAAGTGCATGGTCCTGAGTTCAATTGCCATTACCCCAAAAAAACAAAAAAAACACACACAAACTCTTTCTTTACCAGTTCTTGAGAGTTATACACTAGAACAGAGGTCAGAGTGATGCACTGTATGCTTACACGCTCCTACTGACAATCTCATTTTCTAAGAATAGAGGGATTTTTGTAAGGAGTCTTGAAGTGAGAAATTGTTCCCCATTTTCTTCACCAAAGAACTGCGATCTTTAAATTAGGCAGAAACTGAGGCATTCTTCATAGTCTTTAGTTCAGCTACAGCAGTCGCCATCTTGTGGCCCAAATAAAACTTGCAGAGTGGTTTTTGTCCTTCCTGTAGTAAGTACATTGAAGTTAAAATTTTTGTTGCTGTGATCTCATTATTAATGCAATTTGTTGATGGGAGTCTTGATTTTTTAACAGCTTGAATATTTTAACAAGGTGATTTATATTGATTGTAGACAAAATGTTAGCCCACTGTTCAATATATAAAAATTGTTATCTCCCTATAAATTTATTTTAGTTTTGCAATTTTGTTTGAAGGAATTTTCCTTTGGTCTTACTATTGCTTATAATATTTGGATTAGGTGTGGGAAAGGGCATTATTATTTTTGGTGAATCGAAGTGTTACAGAGTCCCTGACATTTGTGATCTGGGTTTTTTAGGTTATTTATTATCAAAGCGCGAAGGCCAGGCAGGGTCTCCAGAGAAACCACTCTCAGACCTCGGGCGTCTCTCATACATGGCTTACTGGAAGAGTGTAATACTGGAGTGCCTTCATCACCAAAACGACAGGCAGATCAGCATCAAGAAACTAAGTAAGCTAACGGGGATATGCCCTCAAGACATCACCTCCACACTGCACCACCTACGAATGCTGGACTTCCGTAGTGACCAGTGAGTATCACCTCCCTCTGCACACTATCAGAAGGTCACTCCAGTGAGGCTTTTGGGCCAGGTAGGCAGGTTATTGAGGATGGGTGATGACTGATATAAGCGGTATACTTGGTAATATTGAGACATTATTTTTGTTTCTATGGTATTTTATTCGAATGGCCATATTTATGTTTAAATTATTTTTCTGGTCTTCTTCCTAATTTTTGGACCTAAGCCACAGAACCTTTTATCTTCTAGTACTGGGAGCTCATTTTATAAGAATTAACAATCTAGAAACAGTGTCATTAAGTAAAATATCTCCATGATTAATTTTCATAGGAATAGTTCAAAATGAAATGAATATTGAGAAGGACAGACACAGTTCATTCTTGCCTAAAGTAGTCAGGAAAACATCACGAGGGAGACATTTGAGCTAAGTAGAGGATAGGAAAGCTCAAAGGAGCAGGAGAAATGGCAGATAGGGAGAGTCCATAAATGGTTAAATAGTGTACTCCATTGCTACAGTGGAATGTAAGGTTTTTGTTCAACTTCATAGTTCTTAGGTATCTCACTGGTAATATATTTCCCTATCTCATCTTTCCAAGCAGGCTATTTGTAAAGCATCATCTTTGTCATCTCCAGGATTTTTCATAGGATATATATTAATTTTTTGTGCACTTTGTATGTTATTGATTGCTATAAACTTCTCTCTGGTTTTAGATTTGTGATTATCCGCCGGGAAAAACTTATTCAGGATCATATGGCAAAGCTTCAACTGAATCTTCGACCTGTGGATGTAGATCCAGAATGTTTACGCTGGACTCCTGTCATAGTCTCCAACTCTGTTGTCTCAGAAGATGAAGAAGAAGAGGCTGATGAGGAAGAGAATGAAGAGCCACAGTGCCAGGAAAGAGATTCAGAGACCAATGTAAGGACATGAGTAGTCTGTTTTTTATGACAGATGTTGTTTTGGTTTTCATTAGTATTTGTGGTTTGTATTTTACCAACAAGGTAAATTCATACTAGAATTTTAGATTTTATTTCAGTGATAGAAATTTCAGGAAGACTGGCTCTTACTTGTGGAGTTTCTAAGCCCATCAAATTTCTTACATTGTGTTAATTATGACTAAAAATTCAGCAGAGTACCTCCTGACATTCTGACAGTTGGATATTAAGCTGTATGGTACTTGAGGAATCTCCACTAATCTATGACAGTTAAAGTTGAAAATACATGTTCTTTAAAATAGAATGTTAGGAAAACGATATAAACATGTATATATTTTCAGCACAGTACTGAAAAGTTCAGTGGATACTCAGGCATCTTTAACCATTGAAAGGTTGATGGCTGTCTGTTCTACCTTGCATAGTTTTCAACATTGTTTTTCATGTAATATATACCTTTCTTGTTTTTTTCCCCTTTTTTGAAAAAGCAGTGCTTTCATCCCTATGTCCTCTTTTGATAAACATGAAACTTTTGACTTTTTAGTGTAATTTAATTTTCAAAGTGGCATTAAGATTAGAATCAAAATAAGTTCAAAAATTTTTTCGTATTTTTCAAATGTCCTCTTCCTCTTGCCCATTCTTCCCTGTTGATAAATTTTTATTTCTGAAAAATTCTATAAACAATCTCATCTACCATTTATATGCATCACTTATTTTATGTATCAAGGTGGTATTTCAGACTAGTTAAAGAGCGCAAACTCTGGAGTTAAGACTGCCTAGGTTTATGTGCCAGTTTCTTAATTCACAACTGTATGTCATAGGCAGTAGTAGGGCTTTTTTGTGCCTCACTACCTCATTTGTCAGATGGGGATATGACAGTACTTCGCAGTTGTTGTGAGGATTAAATGAACAGTACATAAGTAGTAAATAGTACATTTAAACATTGTCTACAGCATAGGAGATGTTTATGTTAACTGTTAAGTAACTAATCATTTTCCTTTGAAGCTCTGATATCTTATCTCAGAATATATTTAAAAGAGTAGAATTGGTAGATATGACCAAACAGGGCTGAAAAATTAAGCAATGTTGTTTTATTTTCTAAAATCAGGTGGGAAAGTCGGTGTCTCGGGAAAACAAAGAACAAGATTCTTATTCTTCAGTAGAAAGTGAAAAGAAACCAGAAGTTATAGCTCCTGCTGGTTCTACACGATTGAACAAACAGGTCCTTCCCCGAGACAGTCTTCCTGCAAACAGCCAGCCCTCTCGGCGGGGCCGCTGGGGGAGGAAAAACAGAAAGTCCCAAGAGCGGCTTGGTGATAAAGAGTCTAAACTGCTCTTGGAAGAGCCTTCATCAGCTCCCCAGGAACAATATGGAGAATGTGAGGAAAAATCGGAAACCTCCCAAGAACAATATGCCGAGGGCGAAGAACAATTGACAGCCTCTCAGGAGCAGCCAAGCCAGGAGGGAAAGCCAGACATACCCAAAAGAAGATTGAGTGAGGGGTCTGAGCTATGGCGGGGACAGCTAAAGAAAAGCCCTGAGGCTCTGAAGTGCAGATTACCTGAAGGAAACGACAGACTGCAGCGCTGCTACAGTGACGGTGACAGGACTGTCCTTCAGGGCTTCAGTGAGAGTAGTGAAGAGGAGGAAGAACCAGAAAGTCCGCGGTCAAACTCACCACCAATTCTTACCAAACCCACTTTAAAGAGAAAGGTAACACATTTTTTACATGTCTTTTCTTCTGTGGTTGCAGCTTATTACACATATTTCTTTTTTCTATCCTACAGTTCTCAAAGAATAAAAGCAGAAATTGCTAGTATTGTTTTTTTAAACTTTTAAACCTCAGTATGCTATAGCTTATGATCTTCCCAAGAAACACTTGAAAATGTGTCTTTTGGTTCTTGGGAATTCATCTCTCAGTCATAAGTTGATTTAAAGGCAAACTGTTGTAACTTGCTGGTTTTATGTTCAAACAGGCACAGTAAGAGATTAACAATAATAACCAATAGTAAAATAGAACAGTTATAACAGCGTAATAAAAGTTACATAAATGTGTCTCTCAAAATCTGAGAAGCATCTTAAGGCATCTCCTAGGCTTATCTGAACTGCCAGCATCACTGCTTTTGCTCTTTTGGGGTCATTATTAAGTAAAATAAGGGTTACCTGGGTGAACACAAGCACCACAATACCAGGATAGTCTTACCTGAAAACTGAGGTGGCCACTAAAGGACTCACAGGTGAGTACTCCATGAAGCTTGGATGCACCAGGCACAGGAATGCGTCACATCTAGGGCAGGAAGAAGATGCAGGATGGCACGAGGTTTCATCACACTGTTCAGAATAGCATGCAAACTTAAAACATATGAGTTATTTCTAGAATTTGCCATTTAATATTTTTGGACTTGAGTTGAACATAAGAGTAAGTGAAATCATGGTAAGTGCAACCACTTGTAAGAGGGAACTGCTATACCCCAGAAGTATCCCAGGCTATAGGAGTGAACTTTCAGCATTGCCACAAGACAGCCAGACTCAAGTGTGTTAGTGCCCTACCGAGGTGCCCCTATAGAAATGGGTGATAGCATTCTCCCAAAGCAGTGAAACCGTTCCTTTCCTTAGCAAGACCTTTTTTTAAAAAAAAACATTTTCACATATACAACACCGCAGAGAAAGTTCCCATATACCCAATATACCCCAAGTTCCCATATACCACATAACCACTTTGCCCTCTTATGTTGGCAAGGTGTATTATCACTATTAGTGATTTGTTGTAGATCCATTAGTTACTAGAGTCATACTTGATTCCAATTTCCAGTTTTCCCTAATGTCCTTTTCTTGTTCCAGAACCCATCCAGCATATCACGCTATAGTTGGTGGTCATGAGTCTTTAGGCTCTTCTTAGTTGTGACAGTTTCTCAGTCTTTGTTTTTGACAGCCTTGGCAGTTATGAGGATTACTGGTCAGTTATTTTGTAGAATTTAACATTCCTCTTGAAATTAGAGTTGGGCAGTATGGGTTTTGAGAGGAAGGCCATAGCAGAAAAGTGCACATCTCCTTACATGGACAGAGATGATCTGCAATACAGATCTGTGTTTCAGGGTATATGCCATCAGTACACCTTCCTATGAACTCAGGTGATGCTTGTCAGATTACTCCTTCCTTTCCCTTTTCCATGCTGTTGGGGTGATGCAAGCTGTGCAGCCCACACTTAAAATGTGGGTAGTTTTCCTGAAGCAGATACCTTGCCTAAATTACTTGCTTGGGAGATTTGTCCATTCTCCCCATCTATTGATTTATTCAGGTCATTCCTATCAGTATAGACTCATAAATATTTACTTGGTATTTCAATTTAACATCCAGGGCTACTGGGGTTTTTTTGTTTTGGGTTTGTTTTGGATTTGTTTTGTCTTCAATTCATTGTTCAAATTGTTCAGCTTTGGCCATTAGCTCTTTAAGTTTCACTCCTGTGCCATCTTAACGTAGATGTCCTCATCACTGTGTGGCTTTTGTTTTGTTTTGATCACTTTCTTACCTTTTGCCTCCACTAGATTCCCCAGGTTTACCTTGTCTTTTTCCTGCTCCAAGCCTAGAATAAGCCATTTCTCAAAGGAGCAGGGCCATTTTAAAATCTTAATTTAAAAATTAGACTCTCAGAACTCACAGATTTGAGGTCGAGAAAAGTGGCACCTTGATTAACTTTACTGTTCATTATGTGAAGAATGTCTTTGCCATCCAGGGGCTTATATTTTGCCTGTTTATAAATTCAAACAAATGTACTGTTTCTTTATATTAAAAGAATATTGTAGTAATCAATGAGACCATATGCAAAGTACTTTTGACATTCTTGAAGAAATCTAATTGCCTGGTAATCAAGGGATTGTGTACTGTATTTATAGCAGTTTCTTATTAGATGTGTGACCTTGAGCAAGGCCTGTAACCTTTCTGGCCTCTGTAGAGTGAAAAGATGGTACTGTGTCTTGAGGGCAGGGGAGCATTTCTAACACTTTGTAAGCTTTAAAATAGGTCAGCCAAGTGCAGAAGCGTGCCTAATGTGCTGAATTTCCATACCAGATTCATTTTACTTTTGAAAAGTATCATTAACACCAAGTAATTCCATTCCCACTACCTAATTCTACACTCCCCTGTAACTTTTTATGGATGGTCCATGAAAACGGCATACAGCTTTATTGATCTGCTAGCCTTCAGAATAGTATATGAGACTGTTTTTATTTCTGTAGGATTTTCTTGTAAAAAAGAGAAGTTAAGAGACTAATCTCTGGGTTATTTCATTATTGAAATAGATGACTCCCTATGGTGTTAATTCAATTGAACTACTAATAAGATAATTATAATGTCCTGCTCTTTGTGCATGCCCACCTGTTCTTTTATAAAGTTTTATGCAATTATATAGCATCTTTGTGTTCTTAATACTTTATGTATAGTAGCTTACTTTAGTAGAAATATTTAAACTTTTTTGGCAAACAGCATCCTCATTTTATAAATGGTAATTCTATTAGGTTTTCTTTGCTTTTTGGTTTCTAAAGACAAAGGTCTCACTATGCAGTTTGGTATATGTGCTGCTGAAGCGAGCACTCACTATGTAGTTCAAGCTGGCCTTGAACTTGCTATGTATCCCAGGCTGGCTAGGAACTTGGGGCAATCCTCCTGCTTCAGCTTCCCAAGGGTTAGGATTGCTGGTATGCGCCACCATGTCCGGTTCTTTAGGTTTAAAACATCTTTCTTGTTATTAGTAGAAAAGGTAGTGTTCATTATTATAAATAAAATACTTGCTTTTCCTACTAAATAGAAACCAGTTCTTCACCGAAGAAGGAGAGTCCGAAAACGGAAACACCATAATAGCAGTGTAGTCACAGAGACTATTTCTGAGACTACAGAGGTATTAGATGAACCTTTTGAAGACTCTGATTCTGAGAGACCAATGCCAAGGTTAGAACCCACATTTGAGATTGATGAAGAGGAAGAGGAGGAAGAGGAGGAGGAGAACGAGCTCTTCCATAGAGGATACTTCCATCGCCTGTCCTCGCAAGGTGTTCTCAGGTGCCGATCCTCTTCAAAGAGGAAGTTGAGAGAGGAAGAGGAAGATGAAGAATCAGATGATGCTGATGGTATGTTTTACACAACTGTTACTTATTATAGTTTTATTGTCTTTAAATACATAGGAGTAATTCAACAAAAGGTTGTGGATCCTTCTCTATGCTCATTTTTGTACTTAGTTTCCCCTTTAATTCAAAAACTACTTTTGTCTCTGCAGAAAATATCTTAGTGTTAGGACTGTGTCCTTTTTTGCCTAATCTTTTCTCAGCCTTCATCTGAATCGTAATGGATAATGGATGAATTGGATTTAGCGCTGGGAAGATGGAATAACCATTTACTAGAATGTGTACTCTCTGGACTTCATTGCTGTGTGCTGAGTGCTTGAGATAGGTATTCAGTAAATATTAAGTGAATAAATGCTAAGAAGACAGTTGTTCTTCAGTACAAACAGGTTTGGAACTTGTATCCAATGTATTCAGGAATCTTTCCTGAAGCATATCTCTAAGGTGTCTTACCAACTAGTACTGTAGTACATGTCTAATAAATGGTAAGAGTAAGTTCATTTTAAAATATAGGTTACAATCCAGTTATTTACTTTTAAAATAGCCTTGTTTTCATTTCCTAGAGACACAGAACTGGGACTACCACTATGAACTGGATCAAAAACTAGGCTTTTTTGCATCTTAAAGTTTTGCCAATGTATCAACAGTGTGTTTGCCTTACAGTGGGTTTGCATAGAGCTTTTTCACTTTGCCGGATGAATGTGAAGAAATCTCATTATCTGTTCTTGGTACCTAAACTTTTATGCCATAACTAGTTGAGCTTTTCATACTATTTTTGAGTATCTTGCTTTCAAATCTAGTAGATATAACATGGATTTTCCTCATTCTTCTGTTTTTAGATAACAAATACTTTTAATACAGTGATAAGACAATTGAACTGTCCTTCACTATGAATGAGTCTCCAGTTTTACATATATTTTAAGGTACAGAAGTAGAAAGCTAAAAATTTATTTTGTGAATTTGGCGTTTTACATTATATCTTGAACCACTGGACACTACAGTAGTATCCCCTGCTTAAGTTTCTGTCAAGTAGAACACTTTTCTCAGTTGTTTCCTGTGTTTACTTTGAAGCTACTGCCATGAACTGTACCTTTTTACGTCTTCTTCTCAAATCCTGTTCTTGCCCTGATGTTCTTAATCTATGAAAAATTATTGGGAATTGTGAATGTGCTTCATGCCATTGAACTATACACTATGAAATGGTTAAAATAAATTTTTTGTTAGGTATATTTTACCACCATTTAGAAAATGTTAATACCAAATTTATTTCTACTAAATATTGTGCTTTAACTTTGTCTTACTTGTCTAGGACTAAATGTCAGTATTTGCCTTGAACTAAAACATGGTAGCTATTCTCAAATGAACACAACATTGAACACTTGTTCACATGGGATGACTCAGCCTTGATCCGTGGCTTCATGAAGTAATGACTTTGTGGAAATTAAACACCACAGAAATAACAGATTGCAAGCAGAAAAAAGAAAAGGAAGAAATAAAGCTGATTTGTAATGTTTCACAATAAGGAATTCAGTGATCTTATCACTAAAGTAATTGTTTTATAAGATCACAAGAATGAGGAAAAATGCAAGTTATCTGCTAGATTTGAAATCAACTTAGACTTGTTAGAAGTACTACTTATTATTCACAAGTTTATAAGGTGTATTCCCATTTTATAAATGATGCAACAAAAACTTGAGTAACTTCCTAAAGCTGGTACTGATAAATTTGAACTGGTTTTACTTAGTAGATGATAACATAATATTGACTAGGATTTTTCATTGTTCTGCTAGTTCACTTGAGAACATGTCATTAATTAGCTTTATCTATTAGATTCTTAATATTTAAATGAATCGAATCACATAGAAACAATGGCTTAATAATTTCTGTTGTACATGCTGGACTCAGAAAAAGACACTAGACATGTAAGGTCTTGTAACTTTTTTATTTTTTTATCCCTTCTATATAGACACTCCTATCCTAAAGCCAGTATCTCTCTTACGAAAATGTGATGTGGACAGTTCTTCCCTTGAGCCAGATACATCGACACCTATGAAGAAGAAAAAAGGATGGCCCAAAGGCAAGAGCCGCAAACCAATCCACTGGAAGAAAAGACCTGGTCGAAAACCGGGACTTAAGTTGAATCGGGAAATCATGACCATTTCTACTCAAGAATGCATCATTGAGCCTATTGTCCCCATTCCTAAACCTGGGCGCAAAACTAAAACTCAAGAGAATGAAGAAACTGTGGAGCTAAAAGAAGATATGCCCTTATTGGAAGAAAGGAAGGAAGAAGAGATGCAGATGGAAACAGAAGAGGTTGAAGAGGGAGAGGAAGAGGACACAACAGGCAGTGAGGTTAGAGCTGCTTCTCCAGTGGATAGCAGCAACAGTCCTGAGATAGAAGCAAAAGAGCCTGAGGTGGAGGAGGAGGAAGAGAAACCTCGAGTGTTAGAAGAGCAAAGACAGTCAGAGGAGGAGCCACAAGAACTGGAAGAACAAGAGCCAGAGGAAGAAGATGAAGTGACCATAGAGGCAAACCAGAATGAAGACCATGATGCTGATGATGAAGATGATGGTCATCTGGAATCTTCAAAGAAAAAGGAGTCAGAAGAACAGTCAGTTAGAGAAGATGTCAAGGAGGAACCTGGCAGTCAAGAGTCTTTTTTAGATACTAACCTGCAGAACAGTAGGGAAAATATAAAAGATAAAAATGAAACAGAACCAGATTCTGAAGAGGAACAACCTTCCCATGAGGCATCTGTGGTGTCAGAGCATATGCCAGGGTCTGAAGATGACCATGAAGAAGATTCAAACACTAAGGAAGAATTAATTGAGTTAAAAGAGGAAGAAGAGATTCCTCATAGTGAATTGGACCTAGAAACTGTACAGGCAGTGCAGTCTTTGACTCAAGAAGAAAGCAATGAGCATGAGGGAGCCTACCAGGACTGTGAAGAGACCCTTGCAGCTTGTCAGACTTTGCAGAGTTACACCCAGGCCGATGAAGACCCTCAGATGTCAATAGTTGAAGACTGCCATGCTTCAGAACATAATAGCCCAATATCTTCAGTTCAGTCTCATCCCAGCCAGTCTGTCCGTTCGGTCAGTAGCCCCAATGTGCCTGCCCTGGAAAGTGGTTACACACAGATCAGCCCGGAACAGGGCTCCCTGTCCGCACCCTCTATGCAGAACATGGAGACCAGCCCCATGATGGATGTGCCTTCCGTATCAGACCACTCGCAGCAGGTGGTAGACAGTGGCTTCAGTGATCTGGGCAGTATTGAGAGCACCACAGAAAACTATGAGAATCCAAGCAGCTATGATTCCACAATGGGAGGCAGCATTTGTGGGAATAACTCCTCTCAAAGCAGCTGTTCCTATGGTGGGTTGTCATCCTCCAGCAGCCTCACCCAGAACAGCTGTGTTGTCACTCAGCAGATGGCAAACATAGGCAGCAGCTGCAGCATGATGCAGCAGAACACTGTCCAGCCTGCTTCCAACTGCAATATCAAGTCACCTCAGAGTTGTGTGGTGGAGAGGCCTCCTAGTAACCAGCAGCCGCCGCCGCCGCCACCACCACAGCAACAGCAGCAGCAGCAGCAGCAGCAGCCCCAGCAGCAGCAGCAACAGCAACAACAACCAGCACCACAACCTCCACCACCCCAGCCACAACCACAACCACAGCCACAGCCACAGCCACAGCAGCAGCAGCAGTCTCAGTCCCAGCAGCCTCAACCTCCACCCCCACCCCAGCAGCAGCCCCCACTGTCACAGTGTAGTATGAATAATGGTTTCACTCCAGCTCCTATGATAATGGAGATACCAGAATCTGGAAGCACTGGGAACATCAGTATCTATGAAAGAATTCCAGGGGATTTTGGTGCCAGCAGCTACTCTCAACCATCAGCCACCTTCAGTTTAGCCAAATTGCAGCAGCTGACTAACACCATTATGGACCCTCATGCCATGCCTTATAGCCATTCTCCTGCTGTAACTTCCTATGCAACCAGTGTTTCTTTGTCCAATACAGGACTGGCTCAGTTAGCACCATCTCATCCATTAGCTGGGACCCCTCAAGCACAAGCCACCATGACACCACCCCCCAACTTGGCATCCACAACCATGAACCTCACGTCACCTCTGCTCCAGTGCAACATGTCTGCCACCAACATTGGTATTCCTCACACCCAGAGGTTGCAAGGGCAAATGCCAGTCAAGGGGCACATTTCTATCCGCTCCAAATCTGCACCACTTCCCTCAGCAGCGGCTCACCAGCAGCAGCTGTATGGCCGCAGCCCACCTGCGGTTGCCATGCAGGCTGGCCCTCGTGCACTGGCTGTTCAGCGTGGCATGAACATGGGGGTTAATTTAATGCCAACTCCCGCCTATAATGTCAACTCCATGAATATGAACACCTTGAATGCCATGAACAGTTACCGGATGACACAGCCCATGATGAACAGCAGTTACCATAGTAATCCTGCCTACATGAACCAGACAGCACAGTATCCTATGCAGATGCAGATGGGGATGATGGGGAGCCAGGCCTATACCCAGCAGCCTATGCAGCCAAACCCTCATGGAAACATGATGTACACTGGCCCCTCCCATCACAGCTATATGAATGCTGCTGGTGTACCCAAGCAGTCACTCAATGGACCTTACATGAGAAGATGAGCAAGGAAAACCTATAGTTAAAACTTAAATATATATAAAGAAAGGAACTTTTTATACTGACAAACCAGAGAAAAATGGACCTTTTTTCCAGTTAAAATATTGCTGTAGACTTAGAGGAATTTTTCTTTGGTTTATTTTATTTTTTAGAAAACCTGATCCTTTTGGGTTCATTTTGTTCTGGGTTTTGGTTTTCTTCACAGTCTTGAACATTTTACAGTAGAACTCATCTAAAAAATGTATCTAGGGATAGGGGAAACATGCACAAAATCTTTTCATAATTAAAAAGAGCCTTACTTTCTTTACAATACCACAAGGACAGAATTTGTGTAAAGTGAATTATCTTTATTTTAAAAATGTATGTTTCCCCTCTGTTTGCAACTCCCAATGTTGTCATTTTTAAATGTTATATACATCTCCAGGGTTAACCGTACCCTTTCTTCCAGACCCAACTTTTCATTTCCTACTTCATTCCAGCAGGAGGCACTTATGGGAGATTAGGATGGGGATGTGGAGAACAACCCAAGCTCCTTAAACTTATTGTTAATGTTATTATTGTTATTATTATTATTAATAAAGTGAGGCAGGAAATGCTTCTCCCTTTAAAATCCCCTCCACTCCTTATACACACACACACCTCTTGAAACCTTTCCCCAAGAATGTTTCTTTTATATAAATGGACTTCACTGAAATCTTTTTCTTGAATCAAGTGTAATATAATTTTTTTCTTTTGTAATATTCCCACTCAGCACTCAGAGACACAAAAATACTGTAAGTCTCACTAACAGCAGAATCTCAGAGGAAAGCTGATTGCAATCGTAATCCAGCCTTTGGAGTAATAGAGATGGTTAATTAACAATCAAAAAGAGGAAATGAACCTCTTGGTTTTTTACCACCTGGTGAATCAGCCATAACATACATATTCCACCCAGCCTCTTGTTTTTAGTATGTACTTTGAAATGTTAATTAAGGGTCTTGATTGTTGAGCCTTCAAAGAACAGTCCCCAACGATTTGCCTCTTACATTCTCTCATACAGTGTTAGTGGATGACTGTATGTCTCAGTGATTTGAAAAATACCTGACAGATCTTTGACACTGTTGATTTTATGTTGGACGAGGTGGCGCAGAATATGTGTCCAAAGGGAGATTATGGTGTGAGTTTTGTAGCTACTTAAATGACACATACCTCTAGCTTTCATTTGTTGTTTGAGATCTTGAGTTTATGCCCTGTGAATCAGAGTGCACCAGCCCCTCTCCTGTGAGTGGCTGATAAGAAGAGGGACAGACCCACCACCAGCATTGTAGGACACATCTGGACAGCAGGAGCTCAGCAGGTTCACATGTTGTCCCAGTCCATTCTCTTTTCTCTTGTGCAACCAGTTCACCCATTCTCTTCCTATTACTTGCTCCAGGGATAGGTAAAAAAAAATTATATATATATATATATATATTCCATCATTAGAAGATGGAAACTATTATACCACTTGGTATGTGCAGTCAAATATCCAAAAGGGGGAAGTACTGCTTAAAGAAATACCTGTAAGCATAAATTCTCTCCTTTATTTGTACATTTTATATAGATAAATTTTTAAAATACTAATTAGGCATTAAATTTTTTTCAGATGCACAGGTTTGTTGCTTTTTTTATACACTTTAATTGACTTTCTCAATTAAGTGTGTTAGATAGAAAAAGGCAGAATTCCACACCTTACCGCTATCAACTCTGAGCATGTGCAAGGCTGTGTAGGACCCAGTTTCTCTGTATATACTATTCAAGTTCCCAGTCATCTATGTAGAAAGTGCACTGTGCTGCCCTCTCCCTACATCTTCAGCTGTATCATTGCTTCCTGGATGGGATGGGGTGGGGATGGGGGGATGGGAGGGAAGTATATTGGGAGGAGGGTGGGTCAAGGCAGAAGGAGAAGCTGTTGAAATGAGGGCCGTGAAATCAGTTTCTGTTGGTTTGCGGTTGTGTTTGATTTTTGTTTCTTTAAAAAAAAAAATCAATCGGGCAGCTCCCTTTTCCACAAGCCTCTTTGTGACTGTAGTACTATTGTAGGAAAAAATGTTCTTTTCTATATTATAAAAGAAATTATCCAACACAGTAATATTGGTACCTGTCATTTTTTCACTTCTGTTTTAAAAAAAAAAAATGTATTTTTAGCAAGATAACTTGGGTAATCTTCTAAAAAAGAAATTTAAAAACTCACTGTTAGTGACTTTGATGCCTTTTAAAATAAGAGCTTTTTCATTTCATTCCATCTTTAAAATTTTTTATCTTTGTTGTAGAATATTAAAAACTATTTTAAGAAAGATAAAAATTCTCTTTAAAGAGATCTCTAGAGTGTGTGAATAGAGCTCCAGATGCCTCTAAAAGCCGCATGTACAAATGAAGCTAAGTCTATTCCTGTCTGTTTATATTTGCTTTTCCTGTTTTGTAACCTTTGTACTTTGTTCATGGTGACCTGTAAGCTCGGGGAAGGGTGCCGAGATGCCTTTGTACTTCTCCATGTCGTGCGCTCCTGGGCCATCGGCCCCCTTCCTCTCCTTGTATGTAATATCTTTTTTTCTCCTTTCTAGCAAGTACTTTCAAAAGAACTCTGTACATTTTAACATAAAAAATAAATTATGTTGAGCCATTTTGGATGTCTGTCTTGCATGTGGAATTTTTCTCCCAAATATTTCAGGCTGTCCAGTTCTTTTTACACATACACACACACACACCACACACCTGTAAATATTCATCTTTTTTATATTCTCTTTATTATTTCAAGTAAAAGTTTGCTCTGAAATTCCAATTTTTAATCATGTAGGTTTTTAAATATCTATAATAAGGGTTATTTTCCTTTTCCAAAAAGAATATAATAACCTGACTTTAGATTTTCTAGGGAAATCGATTTGAAAACCTTTCAAAGGGATAATTTACTCATCTAAAGAAACAATTGCAATACCACATAATATGTAGGATTTGAATAAATTAGAGGAGAATATTAATTTATTTTAAAATTAAACATTTTTAAGGAAAGTTTTATTTTTCCTCATCTCAGTTTACCTAGGAAAATTTGTCATTCTCATTTTGCCAAGGGTCTCTGTACAAGGTTCTAAACACTGAGACATTTTTTGGTATCTTTGAGTTGTTGTGCTTGCCTGTCATCCTTTAGAATCCTCGATATAAGGCAGCCTGCAGAAAATCACATGTAACTTTATGAACTCAGCCTTAGGCTTTTGTGGTAGAGGGGTGAGTCAGTACAAGTCTTAGTAGGCACTCCACTTTGATAGGAATTTAGGAAGTACACGTGACAGGTGTAGCCAGTGATTGTTCTAAAATGCCACTAAAGCAATATGGGTACTTCATATTGAGGAAAGAGATGATTTGTGACTTTCATTTTCTTCAATAACTATGATTTGGACACAGGCTTTGTCCCTGCACAATGTAGTTATTTGTGGATTTCTCAAAAAACATACTTCTGACGTTTGCTGCTACAAAGTACCTGTCATAAATGAAGCATAAAGCATTTTGATATTTCTAGAAGGAGATAATGTGAGAAAAGAGTGTGTTGCAGTTACATTTTTATCACACCCCTCACTATATTAATACTGCATTTAAATATAATTTAATTACATAATCCCACTTAGAACCAACTCATGAATGATCACTGAGTGGGTCATTATTGTCTATATTCTGGGCCTTTACTATTCAGAACATAGAGGTGGAAGGAAAATGATAGTACATGTCATTAATGTGACTAGGAGTCATAATCCATCAGTCTTGGGGCATCTCTGGTAGCTGCTGTATATTGACAACTGTATTCATTGAACAGCAGAGTCTTGTCACACTAACACTTCTTAGAAGAGAATACTTCAGATTGTGCAAATTGTAGTTTGGGCTGTGCCTGGTGGCTCTTGTCATATTCCTTCCCCTCATCTTTTCATAGCGTGCAAAATATGGGTCAGTGATGATAACTGAATAGTGAAAGGAGAAACAAAATTACTTCCCTTGGCAGAACAGAGTTTGCAGGACTAAAAATGGAAAAAGGAGTTCTACATATCAGTGTGACTCTAAAAATTTGTGTGAAACATTCCATATAAATGAAAGACTATTTACAGCAATGTTTTTAATGTTGGCAAATGTCTGAAATTCTTCAGCATGGTAATCCAAAAGCTAAGGGTCCCCAAAGCAAAACCCAATACATTTGTTAATTTCTGTTAAGGACAGGATGGATTCATTATGTAAGTTGGTGTGTAATTACATAACGCAGCACAGACCCATACCCGCTCTCCCCAGACTGACAGCTACAAATTGTGCTTAATGGAAATGCCTTGCTGTTGTAATAAGGAGCCTCAATACTGGCATACCGTTATATAAAGCCTCAAAAAAGTGACAGCTGTAACTTTGGCTGAAATAGGGAATGCCCATGGGTAGATGGGCCTTTTGTTTCTGAGATCTTTTAAATCACTAAACAGAGATAGTCATAGTGAATTGTTTTCCTGTGGCTAATATAAATAAACGTAGTATGAAATACACATCCAGGTTATTTCAATGAAACATTGCTCTTCTAAAGCTTGTTAGATAGATGTTTCTGGAAGCCATGTTTATGCCATATTCAGAAAAGCTATGTTAAGTGTTCTCTAAGATGATATGTTAAGCCATCTTCAGTTGTACACAGGACACTGAGCAACCAAAACAGTGAGATGAACTGAGAACCATCCATGCTTGATTGCCTGCCCCCCCCACCACCCCCATGCAGTTAACTACAGTGCTGGTGTTGTTAATTGGGATTTGAAAAATGGATCATCTGCTTAATGTTGGAAGACAACACATTCAGATCACCTCTTACATTATTTAAATTGGACTTAAAGAGCTTTTTGAGCCCCAATTATTACATTTCTGAAAATTTCCTATAAACTCTTTTAAGTTGGTGTCAAGTTTAAAGTCTACTGTGAATAAAAAAAATTCATACATTAAACTTTGCTTGTTCTGCACACACATCATTATTATTACATTTAGTAAAGTGACTGTTTAGTAAACAAACAAAAGCAGCCGTAGTCAATGATTACAAAATACTG